GTGCACGTTGCGATTATTGTTGAATAGTTTAATGGGGAATTAAGGTATCGAATGTTTTTTTCCTTGTTTATAGTGACTCTGGTTAGGCTTCTAGTTTGGTGGTTTAGCTAAAGATAGATATATTAACAAAGCCGTACGTGGCAATAAGCTTTTTAGTTTTTTTTTTCTTTATTTTATTTGCGTCAACATGATTCTAGATCTTTTTGAAGCTACTTATTAGCTACAGTTGAGGAAAAAAAATTTAGGATGTGCAGTGTACAGAGTATTACTCCACATGTCATTATATAAGTAGAAAAAAATGGCATACCACTTCATGTTTTGGACAAACTGAAAAATCTCCTCCACTTGAAGCTTTATTGTTGACTTGCACACGGGAAGAAATATATACGATAAGTAATGCACTCTTTTCATTTTCTGACATAAGTACTTATCTACTAATCAACTTGATAAGTAAGTATTCTTAATTTGGAAAGAAAAAAAATTGGTCATCATCCCTTCAAATGAATTTTGATACAAATTGTAACACAAATAAGCCAAGTTAGCAATGCTTTTTTTTCCCCTATATAATTTGTAAAACGTAAAATATCTCCTTTTAATTCTTTTTAATTTTAAGTTGTCACATAATTTTTGAAGGTTAATCTAATCAGCCGTCCAGTAATGCAGTTGACTTTTGTTCTTGCCGGTTGACTATGAATATATATATATATATATATATATATATATATATATTTTTTATTTTTTTATTTATTTAGTCTTCATTTCTCATTTTACTAACCATTTTAGTAATGTTTGGTTCAATGACCATATTGTCTTTACTCAATTCCAGATACTGAATATACTTTCGTTTAAATTATTAAAAAGTTATCCACAAGATTGATAATGTCAGAAGTAATATAAAACTCTCCATAAATATAAATTTTGTTTGACAAAAAACATATATAAATTCTATTAAAGGGCAAAAAAAAAAAAAAAAAAAACCTAGAATGTTGACTGGTAATTAGCCCACTCCTAACTTATATTAATATTGTCTCAACTTAACCACCTATTGTTGGGTGTTGGGTTCTATCATAAAAAATCTCAGTGTTATTAGTGGTGAAACCATACACTTATATATTTTATTTTATTTTTTCAATTCTCCGATATTGGACTTATATTCAACAACCACTACCCAGAAGAAGTTTGGCAACCTTTTATTTTCTAGTAAGTACTAAAACATATATTCAAAGCAACCCGTTACGAAAAAAGCCAAGGCTTTTCGAGATATGACAAAATAATATATAGTTAAGTTTATCAAACCCAACACCTATTGATATGTAGTCAAGTTAAAGCAATATTGATACTTTTATGACGAACCATGCTGTCTCTAAAAAGTTAATCAATTGCAGTTTGATTGAATCAAGTTTTTTTCTCCTTGTCATTACTGTAGTATTAAGTTGTTGGAGAGGAAAATTTCGAATACTCCAATTCTCCACCAACAAGTAATCTTGAACACGTTGAGAAGCCTTGGACACCATCTTCGCTTGTCAACAATGAGAGTGGGGGGACCTGCAAGAAAACACTTCGACGCTCAAGTTAGTCATTGTTCAAAATAATTGCAAGACATTGTAAAGCTATTAGATACTTCCCTTTTTTTCTCCTCTTAGGCTGGTGTGATTCTTGGCCTTTTATGGGCATTCAAGTCTTGGGCTCCAAGTCCCACTTTCCTTCTATTTCTCCATGTTCCATGGAGTGGGTATTATGTTACTTGATTGTAGCTACACTCCTCATGTTTGGTGTGCTAGTGGCTTATTTAGTGGAGGAGTCATTTTTGGCTCCCACATTGCCCCTTTTTTCTTTGCAAACATATATCGTTTAGAGTTTGTAGAGGAAAAATGTTTCTTTGCAAAAATTCATTCAACTTGAGATTTCATCATTAGTTTAGCCTTCGGCTACGATCATATGGTCTTCGACCATGAGTTTGGCCTTCGGCCACGGTCATATTGGTCTTCGACCATGAATTTTGGGTCTTCGACCTTCGGTCTTGAGCCTTCAGCTCTTATTCGGTCTAGGTCTTCAACCCACGGTCTCTTGATCTTCGATCATCAATTTATATAGTAATAGTATGCCCCCAGAGTAATTAAAATTTGAATAACATCGACAGTACTAATGAGCATGTGTAAGATAGAAACTCTTATCTGTTGGGCAACTTCGTTTTTGTTGAATTAAATGGATTTCCTTTGCTAACAACCCTTGGGGTGTTTGCCGAATAACTGTTAGGCAATTTCATTACATCTGTTGCAGCCAGAGTGAACTTTGATTGTGTTTCCTTTCTTTGAAACCTTGAACACATGTCCTGTTTGATGACTTGGTAGGAACTCATTGTCTCTTTGTGCAATTGTTTTCCCAAGCTAGAATTGAATGCTTCAGGTCTCATCCTTCTCATCTTTTGAGTACTTGTTGCCCCAATGGTATGGTTTCTTCATGTAATTCCTCAAATGGTTTCTTCGTGCAATTCCTCAAGGACAAGTTGCTTATCAGGCATCATCCTTGATTGTCTGATCTTTTGGGTTTCTATTTTCTCTTCATGCATGTGTTTTCCACAAATTCGTTGACCGCAATCCTCATGCTTACGTTCACCAAATCCCTCGCCAAAGGCTTCCCCGAACAATCTTCCTTCGTAACTTGTGAGAGCAGGGGGACAAGTGCTCAACTAGCTTTCTTCGCCCTGTCATATCTTCGTATAATTTACGAATGAGGGCTGACATCTTATGATACGAACGAGGACTGACATATGATTTACAAACAAGGACTGACATATGATTTACGAATGAGGACTGACATATGATTTACTAACGAGGACTGACAAAATTTGATTGAGAAGGTTGTCCGACAGGCTATACATATTATATAAACTTCTATCCCATCTTATCGAATTGACGAAAGCAGCAGCTGCAGCACAGAAGTCTAAAAGCGTGTCTCCCTTGCCGAACACGCCTAGTCTGCACACACATTATTTAGGGTTTTGGCCCGTGCCCCCATTGTGGCTTAGGTGGAGACCATAACTTCTCGATACGGCTTTTGTACGAATTCCCACAAACGACGCCAACTGTTGGAGAGGAAAATTTCGGATACTCCAATTCTCCACCAACAAGTAATCTTGAACACGTTGAGAAGCCTTAGACACCATCTTCGCTTGTCAACAATGAGAGCGGGGGGACCTGCAAGATAACACTCTGATGCTCAAGTCAGTTGTTGTTTAAAATAATTGCAAGACATTGTAAAGCTATCGAATACTTCCTTTTTTTTCTCCCCCTAGGCTGGTGGGATTCTTTACCTTTTATAGGCATTCAAATCTTGGGCTCCAAGTCCCACTTTCCTTCTATTTCTCCATGTTCCATGGAGTGGGTATTATGTTACTTGATTGTAATTCCACTCCTCATGTTTGGTGTGCTAGTGGCTTATTTAGTGGAGGAGTCATTTTTGGCTCCCACATAAGTTATCCACTATATAAGAACATAAAGCATACGAGGAACTTGAGCAAAATAATTTAGGGTAGTGTTATCTACACCCATTTTTACTTCTTTATATTTTACTTAATTTTCAGTCATCGAATATAAGGAATTGAAGAAGACAATGATATGAAATTAATAAGAATGTATGAAAGATAAAAATAAATGTGTAAATAGTTTTATTTTATTTACTTTCACCATTTTCATCAAAACTCCCATGAAAGAAATGATCAAAGGTGAAGAAAATGTCTATACAATTGACTTTAGAATAATCTGATAGCATGTCGAGGAGCATAAAGTCAATGTTGACAACATTGAATCTTTGATCGTTTACTTCCTCATATCCAAGTCCTACATTAGTTTGCACTACAATGCAGCCCCTCACAAATTTGTCTTTATTTTATCTTAGTTTTATATATTTTTAATTTGATTTTATAATGTTTAAGTTCTTTATTCAGTTGAAAGTTGTTAAATTAAACATTCATATTTATATTTTCAGAGAAGGGAGAGGCACTCATGCGAGTCCCTCATAACAAGCATTTAAATTTTAAGGAATTGTTTTTATAAATTAAGATAAATTAAGTGATCATCTTTACCAAGTGTCAGTAATAATTTTTTTTTTTTTGTAAATAAGAACTTGTTTAGAAGTACTTTTAAAATTGTCAAAAACTTCTGGTGAAAATGTTTTTGAAACAAATCCTTAGTAGAAGTGCAAGCGAATCCAATCATGCAATTAGTGCAATTATGTAATTGTGTTTCTTATAGAAAACGCTATAAGTGCTTTTAGAATCCAAAAATATTTTCGTTAAAATCACTTTCAATTATTTTAAAAGCAGTTTCAAACGAACCCTAAGTAATCAAGATATCAACTTTACTTTCTCACTCGAGTAAATCAAGATAGTAAGCCTGGATAAACAAATCTAGATTAAAAGGAAGCTCCCACAGCACATTTGCCGTAAATCTGGTCCTCAAGTGAGACCAAACACACAATGTACAACTCAATACCCCGAAGTGGCACAAAAGGGAAGAAAATAAGGTGGCGTAAACACCAAGGCAAGGAGTAGCCAGGCCGCACATCTGCAAAACTAACAACAAAACGTGTTGAGTCAAATCGGAGACGGGACATCGTACGAGGGCCGAACCAATGCCGGTACAAAAAACCCACCGGAATCTAGAGAATGTAGCAACGAAAAAGGACAGTGGTGTGTGGTGGAGAACTGACCAGAGGTTGTGGTTAAGCTGAACCCAAACGCCCAAATTAGGCCACAAGGACCCCAAATCAAAGGATTAAAGCAAGCACATAGCCTTGTGTAAGCTCCATCAACACGACATCGATCTCCAATGAGAATCGGGGTAGGTTGCTCCACCAATTTCAAACGAGAATTGGGGCCGTTGCAGGAGGCGCAAACAAAGGGCGGGGAAGGACAGAGAGAGGAGGTCGAGTTGTTACAACCCAACCACAAAAAACACCTATTGCAAACCTTATAGTGATACCAATCCCAGACTGTAAGAGACTACAAATGTACCTCGCGATAAAAATTAATCCAAACAAGTTACAAGTTATAGCGCACACTTGAGGATGCATATAAAGTCTTCTGAATACAACACACTATAGTGAAATTCGCACGAGCCTTCTGTAGGAAAGCGTAATTCCAAGTCTATGACGAGTTGCTGAATTAAATTCACTCATTCACCTGTCGATCAAAACTGAGTAGAGCAGAGAGACATCAAACCTTTGAACATTGCACACTAATTAGACGGGATTAAATGTACAAGCGAAGTAACAACCGCTCTCAAAGCAGTTGGACCTAAGTTCTTTGACCACTGCCATGTACGCCTTTCTTTGAATAACCTTTTAGAACCCATTTGTAGACTCGAACTCCCTCATTGGAGCTTTTCGCTTCCCACGAGCATTACATGACGGTAAACTGCTGTGCATTTGATCATCTGTCGCCACATCCATGTCTCTTTCACCTAGTGTTGGAACTTCAGCATCTTGTGGTAAAAGTGAGTGAATATGTGAATGAGAGATTTGAGGCTGGTAAGCGTTGTCAGTTTGTTGCTCAGTCACTCCAAAGACTTCTTGTTTGGAGTCCAATGATGCTCCTCCAGAAAGGTCTTGTGCATTAAAGTCCATCTCATTAAACATGAGGTTTGCAACGGCTCTGTCAATGGTGTTCGTATCTGATTCCGTCCTTTTCTTGCTCCCTGACCTGAATATGAAATTTATTTTTCGATCAATAAGAGCCTGAGAGACAATAACTGTGACAAGGACATAGCAAAAACATTAACAAACTAAACTATAATTTGACTGTCACAATTCTGCAATGCCAGTTTTGTAACCTGAAATGGACAAATTATATTCTAACAAGACAGAAGTAATGTAGTAAGTAGTACAAAAATACCTGACTGTTTCATCCTGGGCTGTCCATGATGAAGGGTTTTCATTTTCCATTTCTTCATCTCCGTCTTGGCTCTGTGTAGCGTGATTTTCTTTTGAGTTATTGGCAAGTCGGTACAAGGAATCTCGAAAGCAAATTCGGGTCTTCTCATTCAACTGATCATTCAAAAACAGGGTAAGATTTCATAACAAAAGATGAATGTGCTTTACAACATGTGCATTATTCGGCTTTTAAAATCTAAGTTTACCTGTTTCATCACCATTTCTAGTTCATGTAACACAGACTCTTCAACTGATGACTCCTCACCACCAAGTCCATCCATGCTGCTTTCTGCTGTCTGTAACAAAAACAAAATTACATTAATAAGATACAGCTGGTCAAGAAAACAAGTACTACAGCAATATACAAATGTTAGTACAGTACGTAAAAGTCGAGATGCTAGTAAAAATCAACTGCAAAACAGAAGTTAGCAATAACCATATGGAGAACATACGTCTGTCAGCAAACATAAGTGTTTTTTTTTAACATAGTGAAACAACATAGTGAAACTTTTCTTCAAAATAAAAGAAAGAAGAGGAAAAATGTAAGGCCCAATATTTAAATATTTTATCATAATCCTTTTATCTCTTTTCACGTAGACAGGGAGGGAAAAAAAGATGAGTGAGCAGAGATTAGAGAAGAAAAGGAGAGAGTATGGAAGTACACAAAAGAGCTCTAGAAGGCTTAAAACTACAAACAATTTGTATTTGTTTTAGTTTTAAAAAGCATTTCTCTTTTTAATTACATAAGAAATTATAAGAATAAGATGTTATTCGATGGAATGTACAGAAATTACTCTTCACTGTTTTGTAATTAGGTGTAGAATAACAAATAATATCATTCAAAGTAAACCTTCTTATTTTCCTTGAGTGTTGAAACCAAGGAAAATAAGAAGGTTCATGTTAAAAATTTAGAGCTAGGATGATTCACAGTTACCAATAAAAACACTAGCACATATAAAATCCCAAAAACAGCAACCTCAGGTAGTATTAAATAAAAATAGATATTACATAAAAGCAGTCGGGACATTGCCATAAAATTGTGTCAAAGCACATAAAGCATAAACAATGATATGTTATAGATGATAGTGTGACTTGTCTTACAGAGTAACTACAAGGCCACAACACAGATCAGATTGAGGACATCAAACTTTTCAAGTTATCATATAGTTAATGAATTTTTTTCCCGAAGGTGAAGTTCCTGGGATAAATTATTAAACAAAGTCTGCATCCATGTAGCCAGAATTTTTTTTTTTTTTTACTTTTAATGAAATCGGGATTTTATGTTTCTAAAACTACATACAGACCACTTTCACTCTGGAAACTACAAAGAATTATGCACTTCCTGTTAACTAAAAAAGCATAACAGATTTTCAGTAAAACCAAGTTCTACGCAATATGCAAGTAATAGTGGCCACTTAGACACTTCAACATATAGATATATGAATATTGATAGTAACCCAATTTTTTTTTGAAGACAGCTGTCCCCAGGATCCAAACAAGGCAAGCTAATGGTTCAAATAAAATCTTACCTTTACTGGAAGACAATCTTTGTGCTCCGAGTTGCATTGAATAAACTGTGAAGTAGTGAAATCCCCTTTATCTGAACCCACAGTTGGTGACAAGGCATGAGTTTGAAGACACATTGAATTTCCTGCACTGTGCACACTGCTCGAGATACTTGGTGATTCCAAACTCATGCTTGCAGAGATACAATCAGTAGGTAACATGCCATTGGAATCAGAACAAAAATAGAATGATTTGTGTGCATTTTCTGACCCAGGAAGATCACCAAGTAAGGAACTCCTGCATTAAGGGAAAATCAGATGTTAAAAAACAAGCACAAATAAGATGACATTTTGATTGAATTTAAAGCACATAGAAATTGGGCATATTGGAAACAATGGATACTGAATGACTCTAGTGCATCACCAATAATGAAAATTTATCTTCTAAAATAGGACTCAAAGAAAGGTAGGATCTTCCAAGAATGGTGTTATAAAAACAGTTTGGATTTTATGCTTTTAAATTATTCAGTATCATGCAGCCGATGCCATCTTTCTTATTGGCACCAGCCCTATGACATGAAAATACAATGGAGCAATTCAATTTCCACTGGATTTCCTATTGATGCCACAATTGATTATGACAAATTAAGGCAGTTAAGAAACTACATCAAGTATCTTAATCCCAGAGGTTACGCTTGTACAAGAAAATGTCATCCATCTGGTCGAGTCCTGCTAGGTCTTCAAGTTGATTATAGGCCCGATTGTCTGAAAGAGTAATCTGCTGAAGAGAGGCCTCGGACAATCCTTCACATGCACTTGAACTGCTCGACGGATCTTTTTCATTAACAGAAGTTTCCATCACGGCTTCACCACACAAACTGTTACCACTGAAGTTGAGCTCTCTATTGAATTGTGGATACATTGAAAAGCATTTATTAGTCGACTGAAAACATTCAGATGGACTTATTCCCCATCTTGACCAACTGTCTGGTGATGGAAGCCTATCCGATTGTCCATCATTTGGAACAACAAAATCATCGACGCCAGTTCCGTAATACAAATCCATGAGACTTATCCTGAAATAGATAATAGAAATGTTATAACAAGCATAAATGACTAATCATCACAGCATGTAATTCTATTTTTCAGATTTTGTGAACTTATTTGTGTTAGGACGAGTCAACAAACAGCAGTAAAATGAGGGGAAGAAATCCTATATCCCCTTCATGTCGGTTCTCCAGTATAATCATACACTTCAAGTCTTGTACAATTAGATAACAAAGCAACAAATCATTTACAAAATTTCATCTATTCTTTAAACCACCATATCCTCAGTTTTCTTGTAATCAAACAGAGATCTAGATGTCTTGTTTGATTACTAGGATTGGATTGGATTAGATCGGAAAGGATAATCATAATATTCAAGGTGTGTTTGAAGGTAAGACGAATGATTTTTCATTTTGAAGAGATTATAAGGGATTACACATGAAGGAAGTTTATTCTTTCTAATCCTCCCATTTTGTTGGGACTAGAAGGGATAACTTTCATTAATGAGTAATCCATCTTATGCCTTCAACTCGGATAAAATCTCTTAATTTCTTCCTTCAACATACCTCGAATATAGTGAGTAATCCAATACAATCCAACCCTAGGCACCAAACAAGCCCCTAGAGGTAAAGGTAAAGTATTTCAAGAACCATACTTCAAAGTTTAGTCAACTAAGCTTCTTCTACATGAAAAGTATGACCAAAATAAACAAGAACTCAAATCAAGTTCCAGATCTGCTTAATATAATAAAGGTAAACCATTTAACTTCACAATTTCTTTGATTTCCAATACTGACTGCATCCAATATATTATCTAATATTCGTTAAAATTTGAAATTTCATTTCTTTCCTACACTTTCACAGCATCAGAACCATCCAGAACTCATCAAATCAAGTAAAACTCAAAATTCAATCCACTGTATCAATCATCATCAAACATTAACATAACAGCAGTGAATAGTAAGATCAATCCAAAACATCAAACAGTAAAATCCAAAAAAAAAAGACCAAGACTTTAAACAACTGATATAAATCAAAGAGCTAAGAAAACATACCTTTTTGGATTGATTATTTGGGATTTTGAACAGGACCCAGTTTCTAATCCAGAGATTTAAGTCAGCCCAGAGGAAGAATTCGATATATCAGACTGAAAATTCAGATGGGTTTCCGTGGGATTTCGAGTGTTTGAGTGTTTTCAGCTGGAAAACAAATTGAGGCGGCCGTGGTTTTTTGGTGGCCAGGCTTTTTCTGGATTTTAATTTAGGCTAAAAATAAACAACTTGTAGGTAGATAACAAGATTACAGATGGAAGAGAGAGGAGAGAGAGGGAAGGAGAGAGGAGAGAGGGGGGAAAGAGAAGAGCTGGTTGCTGCGATTTCTTGTGGCTGAGAATAATAGGGCCGAGATTAGTGGCTATGACGGCTCCATCTAAAACTGCATTCTCATTGGCCCACGTGTCCGAATCTGGTCCCCACTGTCAGGAAATCAGATTTATTACTTGGTGTAGGATTGCGCTTGGGATGCCCTGAGCCGCGAGCTGCTTCTGATATTTTATTTCCGGAAATACCCCCGTGGTATTTAATTACCGACGTCTCGGGGACGGAAGAGGCAGTGCGGTACGTGGGCCGAATGGCCATTGCACACGTCGAGTGCTGCAAAAGCTTTCACGGTCACTAGTCCCCCATAGATTTCCACGCTCACACGTGGCAGGTTATGATTGGGCTTCCTGACACGTGGCTTTATATGCTTGGGCTTGGGTGACACGTAGCGTCTAGTAGGAAAAAAAACTTGTGGCCTTGGTTTGTTTGTGGGGAAATAGGGATAAGATACAGTCGGATCCAGAGTACCAGAAGATGAGGGCCACACGATTCATGGTACCCACGATCGCTCTAATAAAATGAAGCAGGTAAAATGTTTCGATCACGCCTGTCACAGTGGACCGAAAAGTTTATGCCAATAATAGAAAAGAATAATCTCTTATTATGGAACAAAAGATCCCAATGAACGTCATGAATGAGATATTTTTTTTGTGTAATTGAAATATAGAACAACATGGCATATTTTATTATAAATTTGTAAAGGCGCTTGCGAATTTTTTGTCTTCAATTGTATAAGAACATGTGCCGCCGTAGCTTTATGTTTCGGCATACAGAAAACCTTTTCTATTTCTAGTAACTTTACCATCCTTCTAAGGACCTAAAAAACTCATAGAAGCGTTTCTCGTTCTTGAGAGTAATTAATGGAATGTTGATGCAGAAACTTGTTAAATAACGGGGTGTGATATCCACACACTTTATTTTACTTCTCACACATCCTTTTAATTTTCGGTCGTTACATCGGATGAATTAAAGAAGATTAACGGACATAAATTAACAAAGGGTGTGTGAGAAATAATTTGGGGTGTGTAGATAGTACACCTCTAAATAACTTTATAGTGTTATCAACAACAAACTGTCACTAATAATAAATTTAAGCGGAAAAGCACCGAAGCAAACCGTTGATATTTCCTATTTCTAGTTCCGTTTTGAGAGTAGAACCACACTGTGCCCACCCCTAAATTCAAGGCTTCAATCTTCATCATATGCTTGACAAGCCTTCGGATCTCCTGACATATATTTTCAATTTGGGGATGCTTTTCATCACCAACAACAAAGACATGAACCTGACTCTTCAATTCAATCCAACTACACCCAGGCTCCTTGCTCCTCTAAGTTTCATCAGGCTTCTTACCCGCTCAACATCTTCCTTCCTGCCCAAGGAAGTATATATGCTTGACAACAACACATAAGCTGATGATTCTTGTGATCCATCTCCATTAAACTCTCTACAGCATAGGCTGCCAATTCGTAATTACGATACTTCCGAGAAGCACTTAATAGAATACGCCATAAACACATACCATGATCCATAGTTGCTGATTCTATGAACTCTTTGGCTTCATCTAACTTCCCGGCATGGCTCAATACATCAACCATAAAAGCATAATGTTCCACCCTTGGGGCTACGCCAAATTCATTAGACATCATCTTAAAATACATCCACCCTCTCTCGACGGATCCCATATGGCTGCAAGCAGAGAGAAGATTAACAAATGTAACGTAGTCCGGTTTTGCATCCTCCAACCGCATCTCCTTGAAGAGCTGTAGAGCCTCGATGCCCCTCCCATTTTGTGAAAGCCCTGATATCATTGCGTTCCAAGTTACTGCATCCCTCACGAGCATAACTAACGCTACCACATTTGGCATACATGTCAACCGAAGCTGTCATTATATACATTTGGAATTTGAAACCCATCTTTAATGAATGGCTATGAACTTGTCTTCCTTCTTCAAGGGACCGGTACTGAGATGGAAGCTGCCAAGTGAGACTCATCAACCGACGACGGCGGCAGAGCAGCTGTCCTGTTTTTACTACAATTCTTTCCTATATCCATTTTTTCACTTTTCCCTTTTTGTCATTCAATATCGCAGGAACTAGGCTGTCATCAACGAGGGCATTATAGTCTATTAAAAAATGAAAGAAAAAATGGTTAAGGAGAAGGATTGAAGAAGGGGATTGCAAATTTGCAGTCGGTGTATGAGCGAGCGTTAGGGCTTTTGAGAGGCTCGGAAAGTTGTGCGATTCCCGCCGGTGTTGAACGGAGGACTCTTTTCCTGGTAAGTTACAATTGGTCCGACTTCAATATTTTTTTTTTAGTGCTAATCTAATTTAGGGTTACAGATAGCTTCTAGATTTGTCTACAAATTCTTTGCAAGAATAACTGGGATTCATACTCTGCCATTGATAGAATGCTTGCTAGTGCTAGAGCTCTCTGCACCCCCAAGTTCGTATCTTCGTCCTCGTAGATCAGAGGAATTTAGTGTAGATTATATTATCGTTTGTCGAAAAAAAGTTTGAATTTCTAAACCCTTTTTAGATTTCTTTTTTCTGTGTTAGGTATTTTTTTTATTCATATTCATTAGCTCTGAAGTAATTAACTTTGTTTAATCGTGCTTTAGTTGCGTTTTGAGCAATTTTAGTGCCTAGAACATGCAATAGTCAGTTTAAACATTCAAATTACTTATTGTGAAGCTCACATTAGTGGGATTCCAGTTTTTTTTAATTTTAATTTATGACTTAATGTCACACTCCGATCCTAACATACGTCGAGAATTGACATGTGACAAGGAAAATAACGTTCGTTAAATACGGTATAAGCGACTGAATGAAATACTTAAAATGATAAACCAAAATAATATGAAGGTGACTAAGTTCTCCACTTGATATTTACAAATATGTACATTCCAAAAAGAAGTACAACCTTCACCAGACTAAAAACAAGTTCGAGGTGCTCAAAAGAAAGTCCCAAAATAAAAAGTACAAGAGTGAATCAAGGGTAACCTAACGCTCCAAGTCTCTGATACCACACTGCTACCCCCACCTACGAACGTCTCGAAGTATACTTAACCTTGTCACCTGTATGATCAGTGCCTACACCATCGAAATGGTACATCGGCAACCATCAACCCGGATAAGCTGCGAAGCTCGTGTGAGTGACAATAATACCAAGTATGTGAGACAATAATAAAACCATCCATCAAACACAATTTATAAACATTGAATATAATTCATACATAATAATCAATACCAAACCTTTGAAAACTCTGAAGGATTCATCCGGACATCCAAAAGTTCATTTGAAACAACCACAACATCTCACAACCATATTCACATACACACAATGAAAGTAGGATTACGGCGACACAATTTAGCCAAAGCCTACACCTTTGCAACTATCTCAAACCAAACTCAATGAACTAAGGTGGATATGATCCCGGACCATTACTCAACGGGATCGCAGAGTAAGAGGGATTCCGAACCATCTCTCCACGGAATCTGAATGGTTAAGATTCTGGATCATCACTCAATGGAATCGCGGAGTATGAGGGATTCCGGACCATCTTTCAATGGAATCTGAAAGGGTACGATTCCGAATCATCACTCAACGGATTCGCGGAAAGCCAACATGCATAAGGGACAACGGCTCAAAGAACTGAGATCAGCACAAGTTACTTAATTTACAAAAGCTCAATCAAGAGAAGTAAGGCATAAATACTAACTTTTAGAACGGATCAACAAAACGGAAATGAAACAATATCGAAGCAACAAATCCCCAAAGGGTTAATGACCCACCACTGGCCCTTACATTTGATAGGAGCATATTTAGGCGACTTACTTAGCTTGTTTTCGTGCATCTATGTTGTTAATTCATAGTTGTTTTAGTAGTTTAAGCCATTTTCGTGTGTTTTTAGGTTCATATGGCTAAGGAAGCAAAAAGATGCATTTTGGAGCATTTTGGAGCAAAATTGGGCTTGGAATGGATAGCATGTGATTGGAGCCAAAGTGTTGGACGAATTTGAAGGCCTTGTATTCATTTTGGACATAAAACAAAGGGCCTAGCCCATTCTCTCTTAAACCAACCCCAAGGCCATGCATTTCCTTCCAATTCCAAAGCCCACAAACACTTCAAAAGCCATGCAAAGAACCATCCATTCCATCAAAAACAATCCATCAATTCACATGCAAAACCACCATTAACACACATGCACCCAAACAAAGCCAACCTAGCTAACCCTACATGCATTCTTTATGCAACTCTTCATCATTCCACCATTCATTCTTTATTCCACAAACAAGTCACATGCATTTCCACCTTCCTACTTCATCATTTCACCACATTCTCCCTCTTTAACTCATTTCATTATTCATTCACTTTGCATTCATTCAATTCCACCCCACATGCACCCTTTATTCTTCATCATTGCAACCATGACACATTTACACCAACAAAACAACTCCCATGCCATGGCCTACTCATATTCCCATTTCCTTTCCAACATGTCACATGCATTTCCACCTTCCTACTTCATCATTTCACCACATTTTCCCTTTTATTTCCACATGCAATTCTTCATCATTGTAGCCACAAACACCTTAAACAAATAGCCATATACATCTCCACTCCTCCTATAAATACCCTTGCATTCATTCATTCAAAAATCATCTCATCTCATTCACAACACAACACACCACAAACACTTCCCTAGCCGTGAGTTTCTCTCCCTTAGAATCCAAAAACCATCTTCCATTTCCACCACTCCTCATCCATTTCCATAATTTCCCAACACTTCCATCCCCCCAACCAACTATCCCTAGACCTTATGCTACAATAAAGAGGAAGATAAGAGGGCCTAAACGTTCATACAATTCAAGATTGAGTTGTTGGAATGTTTAGGCGTTTCTTTGATTTCAATGTTTAATTTCAATTCTCTTTGTTTTGTACGTATGAGGAAATAAACCCCCTTTAGCTAGGGGGTGATTCGAAACTATGTTTATGTTTGTAATATGATTTGATTACTTTTAATTACGTTTCATAAGTTGTGAATTCAATTTGTTTAACTGTTTGATTGATAACCTATTTATGTATGTTTATTAAGAATGAACGCTTAATTTTCATGCATGAATTTGACGCTAGAATATAAGTGAGTTTCACGTAATAGTTATGAACTTATATTCACAAGTAGTGGAGGTTGCTTATAAACAATCGTGTTAAACATATTCTTGGCATAAGTTTCATGCAATCATAGTAACGAATGCCTCGTCAACACTTATAGTTTTCATGATGCTTAATGATTCTTGCTTGTATCTCTATTATGCAATTCATGTAGGGAACTTGTGAGGAATGCTTTGGATTGTCGTATGTAATCATCCAATTCATTAACTTAAGGAAAACTTGACGGTTAATTTAAGCGGACCTAATTAACCCGGGGCGTTGAGAATTCATGGTTTATTAAAAAGCAATTAGACATCGTTTTGTATGCAAGTATAACATATGTAGAGATGAACCCCTTAACTAGCTTCCCATCCATTCATTTCCGTCAAAATCGTATTTACAATTTGTTTTTATTTCCAAGTTTCCATTTTAGTTTAAATTCGTCCAAATCCAATTCCCCCCTATTTCATTGAAGTCTTAGTCTTAATCTTTCTTATTTTTAGTTTTGCATTCTTTGAGCATTAAATAGTGTTTTATATTGTGTTTTTACGTTTTTAAGTCAAATCCAAGTGATTAACAATCCCTCCTAATCCCCGGTCCAGAACGATCCCTACTTATACTTATACTACAATTGACAAAAAGATGGTTTAATTTGTGTGCGTATAAAACTCGCATCAACATTTCATCACATCATGCCAATCAAACAACTTACATCATATTTCAATATGTAATAGTCAAATCTCATTTCATAATCTTAAATCAAAAACTAGGTATTAACATAACAATTTAATAGAAAACATATTTATAACACCAAGTCATACCCTCACAAGGTAATAATTATGAAAGCAAGGTAATCATCAATATCACATATATTAAAGTCACTCACCTGGAGCCCGCGCTAATGCACCTTAGCACGAGAGTCAAGGCATCACGTTCGACCACGTCCTGTGGCCGAGTCCAATTTGGCCGGGAAGGCCCTCAAATTGGCTCGCACCCAACGAAACCCTAAGGTGGGTGTTCTTCAATTCGGCTTCTTTGGTGTTCCAATGCCCCAACCACTAGTTGGGTCTTGTTCTTGGGTCCAAGGGAAGTTGAATAAGGGTAATGGTGAATGGTGATACTCATCAGAATGACGAATCGCCGTCGAGAATCCCTGGGTTCTCCGGTGGAGTTCTACCCGAATTAAGCCTCAAACAAACTTGATTTTTGGTGGAGATGAAAGGAAGAAGATAGTTGAGCAAGTTACAGGTGAAGTAGATAAGAAAGTCAGCTGAGAACTGGAGGAATTGGCTTGAAATTAGTGAATTTGAAAATAGGTTGGAGCACACGGGTCACTAACTAGTGGGAGGAAATGTCAGCTTCTCTCCTCCCTCAACGGTCCTTTATAACCCTCTAAAAAAAAAAAAACTGATTGGTCCCCTTAAAAAAAAAACTAACCTAACCTTTAAACACATGCGGGAATTTAATAATTCCCACAATCTAAAGTTCACAATTTAAACGTCTGTAATTATACCGTTATAATTCGGACTTGTAAACGGCTTTCGCCTATGTATTCGTGGGTTCGAGATCTATAAAAAGAAACTAGTTGTAACTTCCAAATGTCAACGAGAGATAAAGATTGATTATGAAACTTCCAACTCGATATCTAATCAATTTCTAAACTTCCAAAGGGTGATGGCTGGAATCAAATCCAGTTTAATCTAGCCGATTTTACGAGGAGAGCCTATGGAACAAACTATGTGGAGACATTGCGAGTTCAGGTTCATGCAAATTGCCGCCTGAGGAGGATATATTTCTCTGACTGCTTGTACTCCGAAGAGGAACTTCCTCCTGAGTTTAAGTTGTACCTCCCAATGCAGGTAATTTAGATCGATCTAGTCTTCTAAAGCCTGCAATTATGCTTCTGCACCTTGTCGTTTGATGTCCACTCATTGCTGATAATGTTTGTTCTGCACAGAAAGCATGATATGATGCAACAAAGGAGGGATCGAACGCATTGGAGCTGGATTTTGAGACTTTTTTCAGTTGTAATTTGTGCGAGTGTGGCATTTTGAATACTAGAAACAACTAAGTTGTACTAGTGCGTGAAGCATGAAGACCTGAAGTTCTGAATGTGCTTAATTTAGTTAAAGAACGTCAATTATTGTTTCGCCTAGTGTTTTTTTTTTTCCCTAAATCTCAGTTCACTCTTAGATTTCACTCTGTCGTTTTACACCTTGCACCTAAACTAATTTGCCAATGCCAAAGACGATTTCTGCACAATTTTTACCTTCTGCACACTCCCTCCTAAATTTGGTCTTTTGAGGCGATTAAGCGAGAACGATATAACAGAAGGGAGAACCATTCAATTTTTCAGAAATAAATAATGATGATGAAAAGAAGAATATGTTAATAACAGTTCATCTGCAATATTCATCTAAAGATGTATTACGACATTACAATTGTCAACTGTCGTGTTCTTGAGAAGAACAATGCTTAATACATATGTGCATTCATATATCATGTCCATAATTGGTACATTATGTTTAATAGGATGTTAGTTGTATTTTTAGAATTTTAATGATATTTTTTATTTGAGTAATGAAAAGTGTCGTTTGAAATGAATTATGGGATAATATATCTCCTAGATTTTAGGATTTAGGTGATATTAATTTGTCATTTGATTGGTAAACCAAATATACGTAATTTTTGTTATTAAAAATTAGATAAGAATGTTTGATCAAAAGTCTAAAAGCTATGGATGTTAAATCTCAGAATTTCAAAACTAAGGCACCTATATCAAAACACCTAAATTAGTCATATGAATTAGATCAGTAGATGTTTTTAATCACTTAAATTATAATTCGGTTGATGCAAAGTTCCACCAAAAGAAAAAGATTGAAGCAACATATATGCCCCCTCAATTAAAAGCTTCTTGTGGCTGTCAACTACAACTTTGGCTGTAAAAAAAATCAGATAAAGACTCTGCAATATTTGCAGAACTTATTTAATTTGTAGTAAATACCGAGATCATTACTCTAATATTTGTACAAACGTAACACAAATGTCTTGTGAAAAGATAGAGGAATTTGCACATAAATCACCTGATGGGACCTATGTATACTATTCTGCTCGTATCTTTTCCTTCCAATCTATAAATACGAATGTTTACAAATATATCGTCGTTCATACTTTCAACATAATTCTAGGTAGCACGTAAAATCCTTAAGCTTTTATTAGCTTCCGAAACTTGATTAGGCGACAAACAATCAAGCACATCTTTACTGATCAGTCTTTGTCTAAGCTGTATGTTCACCGGTCTCATCTTTGGTCTGCATTCGATTCCTACTTAATCTCGCAGCAATCAAACATATGAGAAAGATGGCAGGCAAAAGGGACAGTTTGATAGGATTTTCAGCACGCCGAATGTAATAAACGTATTGAATTATTGAGCAAACACACTGAGCGAGGCCTCCGAGGAACCCAAAAAGTTCAATGACAGAAAGTTCAATGACAGAACCAAAAAGCATGTCACATCCCCTCTTCCTGCCTCTGTAAATCAGCTCCCATATGCAAGTGAGGAGAGCTGCAATAGCCAAGAGCATTCCAAACAGCGCATACCGAGGCCTACTTGTGGACGAAGCTTGATCACAAGCAGCTGATAAGATCTCCATGCAAAGGCTAGTGACTAAAAAGAACCACTCAGCTGAATTTGGCTGCATAATAAATTAGTAATGTTTCAATTACAACTTCAGAGATCTACAAATAATTATGCAAACGACTAATTAGGTATTATTATCATTATATACGCATTTTATATTTTTTTTCTCCTAGTCATTTATCCAATCATCTCACCCTCTAACTTCTACTTTCTCAATAAAAAAACCTAAGCCTTTTTACGCTGCGACTCTTCATCTTTTCACTCATCTAGCCATCGGCTTCATCTATGTTGCTCCCATTCCAACAACTCTCTCTCTCTTCGCAGTCCATCTCATTTTCTCCTTCATCAAATTGGGATGTCTTTCTCCCTGACTTCATCTATCAAGTTAATTTTTGTACAATTTTAAAGAATGTAGAGATGAAATTTTGGAATCTTTGTACTATTTTTTTTAGGGATGTTGGATTCTTTCAGCAATTCTTCCATCTATTTGCTTCTTGTTTCTTAAATGAATCTTTATAAAATTCTCATAATTAAATAAAAAAGTTTTAGAAACCTAAAGAGAGTGGCCAAAACACATTTGGGCCTTGAATTGGGTTGAAAAAAAAAATCAAATTTAAGCCTAAAAGAATGACCCAAAACAAAGAGGTAATTACCATTACCATATCATGCCAACCGAACCATTTGGCATGCCGAAATTTGGTATACCGAAAGTTTGGCACAATAATGATAATAAATTTTGTCATACCAAAAGTAGGGTAATCGTACCAATACCACTCCTAGGCATTGCTATTACTATAGTCTAGAGTAGAGGTTGTAATTGCACTATTCATCTTGCCTACGAAATAGGACATCAATTTTGAATTGATAACAATTGTGCCATTGTGTGTTGGCCCTTTTTTTCACCCAAAGAACCCGGGTTGGGCCGTTGCGTTTGGGTCCAGTGTTCAAACAACAGGTGTGATGGGCTGGGTTGGGCGGAGAGAGTCGAAGTGTCTCTTTGCCCCTTGGATCCAAATCCAACGGACAGTATGAGGGGCGATTTAGTGGCTTCGATATCGTCGAGGGTTTTCTGAGATTTCCAAAATTTGTAGGGCCAAGCAGGTAATTTCATTACGCATTTGGGTTATTGCGAAGGCTTTCAGTTTGATGAAGGAAATTGCAGTTGATTTTGAAAGGGCCGAGCGGGTAATTTCTCTAACTAAAAACCTGAAATACCAACCTGGGCCGGAGGTGCTAGGAATTTTCTGATTCCTGCACAGTTTCTCAGACAATGACTTCGCCTATTTATTTGTTATTTCTCTAATCCATCCAAGCTGATAGGTTATTTGATGTTGATGGGCCACCTAACTGATTTCAAGTTGAATTATCTGTGTTCACCTGTATTTTTTTGGAGTTGGTTGAACTAAGATGTGCATTTTCTATATTAATGTAATTGAAAATGCATTACGGAATCAAAACCTGCAGCAACATGCGGGCAATGTTCCTAGTGATCGCTAAAGTAGAGACTCTAGTTACGAAAGTAAAACACGGTTCAAATTGAAAGAAGTAAAACTCTAGTACGTAGCAAAACAAATCATGCCTTGATGAAATTGAATGGGAGAATTAGAGATGAAATTCCACACCTTTGCTAAATTGTCGGCAGGTGCTTCAGACTCTTCCGACAGGAGCAACTTCTCTCTATTGTATCGTTTTACAATGTCCATCAATAGCCTTTTTGTGATATTTTCCCTTTCAGGAGGAGGATGCTTCATTGCACAGGACGAGTACGATTCCATTGAGAAGTAGAAAGTAGTGAGTAAATCAGGTTCCAAAATCGCTAACTAGGAAATGCAGGTAAGGCAACTCTACTACTCAATTTTATTGACCCTGAGTCTTTGAGGAAGGTGACTGGCAATTAGAGACGACTTACATAATTTTTGGTCAATAATTGAGTAGACTGCACCAATCATACTTTTAGACCATATTCAAAGGAAATGGCTAATAAAGACTTTTTTCTCTCTTTCCGTGAGAGAGATTCTCTCCTTCTGTGAGAGTTCTTCCCTTTTTTGGTGAGGGTTTCAATCTTGATCTAGATCTTTGGCATCGACCCTAGCTCCAGCTGGGGTCGATTGCCACTTTCGCTTTTCTTTTGAAAGATCTAATGCTCTAGTATGTAGCAAAACAAATCATGCCTTGATGAAATTGAATGGGAGAATTAGAGATGAAATTCAACACCTTTGCTAAAATATCGGCTGGTGCTTCGGACTTTTCTGACAGGAGCAGCTTCTCTCTTCTGTATCATTTTCTAATGTCCATCAACAACCTTTTGTGATATTTTCCCTTTTAGGAGGAGGACGCTTCATTGCACAGGACAAGTACGATTCCATTGAGAAGTAGAAAGTAGTGAGTAAATCAGGTTCCAAAATCGCTAACTAGGAAATGCAGGTGAGGCAACTCTACTACTCAATTTTCTTGACCCTGAGTCTTTGAGGAAGGCGACTGGCAATTAGAGACGACTTACATAATTTTTGGTCAATAATTGAGTGGACTACACTTGTGAATCATAATTTTACACTACTACAAAAGGGTCTTATAGTGTCAGTAGGTGGTGTCGGTTTAATATAATATAGTGTCGAACTAGGCAATTGCGACACTTATTGAACATGACGTCGGATTTACTGTCACTTATAAGTGTCATAAACATTTAATGTCGCTTTTAAACCGATGTAAACATTTAATGTCACTTAAAACCGACATACATTTTAATAATTTTTAAATACTAGTGTCGCTTTAAATAAAACAGTGTCGCTTTAAATAATACAGTGTCACTTTTAAGCGAAATTAAATAATACAATGTCACTTTAAATAAAACAGTGTCGCTTTTAACAATATTAAATATAACATGAACTTAAAATATTTAGTAATATAAGAATTTATTATGTTAAATTAATAATTAGAATTTATTTATACTTTCATTAAGTATAGCATAAGATTTTGTGGTATCCACTAGTGTAAATATTTTAAATTGAAGATCGAGTTCATTCATTGTATTCATATAGGGTCAAGGAGTGTAGCTGTAAAAAATCATCAAAATTGGAGTTTAAATCACCGTTAAATCGTTATTTTTCGTTCATAACCGTCGAAAAGTTTTGTCCCGTTACTTGATCTCTGAATGTTTATTTTTTTGCCATTTTTGGCATATACGATCTCGAAGCATGCATAAACAAGTTTGATGGTTGGATCATTGAAATTAGTTTCGTAAAATGCATATCCCATCAAAACGATAGATTCACTAACACTTAGAATTTATTTATACTTTTTATTAAGTATAATATAAGATTTTGTGGTATCCACTAGAATAAATATTTTAAATTGAAGATCAAATTCATTCATTGTATTCATATAAGGTCAAGGAGTGTAGCTGTAAAAAATCATCTAAATCGGAGTTAAAATAACCATTAAATTGTGATTTTTTGTTTATAACCGTCGAAAAGTTTTGTATCGTTACTTGATCTCTGAATGTTTGTTTTTTTCCATTTTTGGTGTATGCAATCTCGAAGCTTGTATAAACAAGTTTGATGGTTGGATCGTTGAAATTAGTTTCATAAAATGCGTATCCCATCAAAACGATAGATTCATAAAATACATCGGAGTTCAAATCACCGTTAAATCGTGATTTTTCGTTGATAACCGTCGAAAAATTTTGTTCCGTTACTTGATCTCTGAATGTTTGTTATTTGTCATTTTTGGTGTATGCGATCTTGAAGCATGTATAAACAAGTTTGATGGTTGGATCGTTGAAATTAGATTCGTAGAATGCGTATCCCATCAAAATGATAGATTCACTAACACTTAGAATTTATTCATACTTTTATTAAGTATAACATAAGATTTTGCGGTATCCACTAGTGTAAATATATTAAATTGAAGATCGAATTCATTCATTATATTCATATAGGGTCAAGGAGTGTAGTTGTAAAAAATCATCTAAATTGGAGTTAAAATAACCGTTAAATTGTGATTTTTCGTTTATAACCGTCGAAAAGTTTTGTCTCGTTACTTGATCTCTGAATGTTTGTTATTTGTCATTTTTGGCGTATGCGATCTTGAAGCATGTATAAACAAATTTGATGGTTGAATCGTTGAAATTAGTTTCGTAGAATGCGTATCCCATCAAAACGATAGATTCACTAACACTTAGAATTTATTATACTTTTATTAAATATAACTTAAGATTTGTGGTATTCACTAGTGTAAATATTTTAAATTGAAGATCGAATTCATTCATTGTATTCGTATAGGGTCAATGAGTGTAGCTATAAAAAAATAATCAAAATTGGAGTTAAAATCACCGTTAAATCGTGATTTTTTGTTTATAACCATTGAAAAGTTGTCCCGTTATTTAATCTTTGAATGTTTGTTTTTTGCGCTTTTTTGAAGTATGCGATCTCAAAACATATATAAACAAGTTTGATGGTTGGATCGTTGAAATTAGTTTTGAAGGATGCGTATCCCATCAAAACAATAGATTCACTAACACTTAGAGTTTATTTATACTTCCATTAAGTATAACATAAGATTTTGTGATATCCACTATTGTAAATATTTTAAATTGAAGATTGAATTCATTCATTGTATTCATATAGGATCAAGGAGTGTAGTTATAAAAAAATAATCAAAATCAGAGTTAAAATAACTGTTAAATCGTGGTTTTTCGTTTTGTAACCGTCGAAAAGTTTTGTCCCGTTACTTGATTATGTATTTTAATATCAATTAGACTATGTTTCAATTCATGTGTGATGATATTTTATCATAAAATTATATTATTGTTTTTTACTATGTATTAAATATTATTTATTAAAATATTATATGACATAACTTGAAATATTTAGGCGGGAATGAAAATTTGAAATGTTTTAGGCGGGAATGAATGTTTGAAATGTTTGAAATGTTTGTGTGTCAGACCTTGCGTCGGTTTTAACCGACACAACCTCTACTTATTTTGTCGCAAGCTTTGAAATATTTTAGTGTGTCAGACCTTGCGTCGGTTTTAACCGATGTAACCTTTTCTTAATTCGACGTAACCTTTTCTTATTTCGACGCCAGTTGCACTATCAAGTCTGTCACACTCACGTCGCTTTTAACCGACGCAATATGTTATTATTTCGACGCCACTTGCTTTTCAGTCAAGTGTGTTAGTGTTGGAAATGTGCCCTAAAACCAATCATATGATGATACTTTACGGACATTTCAAACTAATGTAGTTTAAAGGACAAAGATTATTGTTTGAGCCGTCTAATATAAATGTTATATGCTTAAACGATAAGTCCAAGGAATATGTGATTGGAAGAATGCGATCTAAAGAAGTTAGATTCATGAGACCATTCTTTCGTTGACACATCCTAAACGTTCCTGATCATAGGATTGTCAATTGGGCATTGACAGTCCGTTAAGATCAGTACGTGCTATGTCTTCTCTCAGGGAGAGTGACTAGTCTCGAGTCATTGGTGTGTGTGACATCAAGACAAGTACGTAGGTGCTCAATAGAGAATGAGTTCACTGAACACGATCAACGAAGAGTTCTCATATTCATGTCACATGAGAACTCATGGTTGGGATAATGCAAATTAGTCTTTTGACCTGAGGCATCACAGTTGTCTTGTGGTTAGGTCCTTAATATTTGATTATGTCAACGTCACTCTATCAGGGTGTCCACGGCATCGTTGGGATTAAGCCACTTAGCCATGGAGGCAAGTGAATGCGCAACAAGGGATCTCTAACCTTCAAACTGTTTGAGGGAGAATACTCTATGATATGATTTAGAATCTCTGGCCAGAGTATGAATGAGATGTTGGAATGTGTTCCAGATCACATTCAAGGTAATCATATAAGTACAAGATTCACATTGGATAGTAGACATGAATAAACTATCAAACCAAACAATGTGGTCAAGAGTATTGTATTAGAGAAAGACTGTATTGCATTTGTAATCCTAAACTGAATAGGTTCTCCACCTCTTCTGATTAGCTTGGGTAACCATGATATGCTGCTAGGTGTCACTCATGGTTTGTGGAAGCCCTAAAAGTGTATTATCACTAACGGGAGAATTGAAAGTAAGTTTCAATTCACAATCGATTTGAAAGAGTTTGAATCGCCCACTGCCTCGCTAAAAGGAACCTAATGGATCGTACACCGTGTAAGGTAGAGTTTGAAGATTCAACGGAAATGAGTAAGAATAATTAAATGGTTTAATTATTTATGGCAAGGATTAATTAATATGATTATTAATCAAACGAATAAGTTCGTTGAAGACCTCGGGATAGTTTTGGACCTTAAGGCCCAATGGGCTTCGAACGTCAAGTCCATTGACTTAAATTGTATGACAACTTAATGAATAATGATTCACAAAGGCCCAAATAGCCCAATAAATCCCCTTAGGCTGGCCATTTAGAGGAGGGTAGTGAACTTGGCTTAATTGCAAGTTTGCCACTCCATTGTGAGGTGGTATAAAGACATCTTTATAGCCATTTCATCCTTAGGGTTTTCTAGGGAGTAAAGATGAGAACACAAAACCTCCCTTTGCTCTCAAAGAGGCTGGCCAATCTAGAGGGGAATAGCTAGCAATCTTACTTCCTCTAGGTCACTCATTTCTTCTACAATATACCTTGGTGTGGAGACTTAGAGGTTCTCAATTTTGGGAACTTGGAGAAACCTTTTCATCCATCCAAATCCATGGATCCAAGATGCAAGGAATGAAGGCCCTCTCTTTGGGTGATTAGCCTTTGCTTATGCAAAGAGGAATCTACAAAGGTATTGATTTTTCAACTCACTTTGTTTTGAGTTGAGTCTTGATTCACCTATCTACTAGGCTTTGAATTTCATGGGTAAATGTTTTGTTTTAAGTGCATACAAGCATGATTCCGCCTTTAATTGTTAATTGCATGCTATTGATGTTGCTTAAATGAACATGTTTTTCACAAATCTTCCTTCAAGTGGTATCAAGAGCCTAAGTCTAGTAGTTGGTGAATCCTTTTGGGTTTTGTAGTTCATAGTTTGTGATTTGAATGTTGTAATTGTTACAAGCTTTATTCTTGCTTCTTTGAATGTAAATTTTGTTAGAAAATTTGCCATCTCAAATGTTGTAGATGTAGTTCATATGAGCATGAATAATGGAACTAAAAGTTGGTGCCAAGTGTTTTGGGATTTTCGGCCAAATCCAAATGGTGATTTTTTGGGTTCATGTTAGGCTTGTTAAAATGGTTTTAAAGTGCTTTTTGGAACCCCTAAGTACCCTAGGATATTAACCCTCTTTTGAGTTGTGAAAATTTGAGTTTTTGATGAAAGAAAACATCCATGGAGCTATTATGAGTTTTCATGTATGTTCTTCATATTTCTTGAAGTTCTTATCAAGAACAAAAAGTTTTGAAGTTTTGATTCAAAAGTTTTATGTTTTACATAAAGTTTTGATTATTAGTTGATGGGTGATGATTATGTCAAAGATATAATTTTGAATATTAGTTGATGGATGATGTTTGTTGGTAAGAAATGATTAAATGTTTTTAATTATATCAAAGGTATATTTTCTTTTCAAACCATCCCCACCATCTTTAATCTCACCCACCAAAATCCACTTACAAAATTCTTTTTATCAAAAATCTCTATGTTACTATCCTATGGCCGGCCACCCCTCTAGTGGGGTGCTTTTGTGCAATTAAATAAAGTTTTGATACTTTTGTGTATTTGTATTTTGGCCCAAAAGTTTGTGTATTTGCAAAATGGCCCAAATAGAATGAGAACAAAAATTGTTTTGTCTCTTTAATGAGAATTGGATTTTCATTATATTTAGTTCCATTTAAATCAATTCTATGGATACAAAAACCAAATGAAAATGTTGCATTCAAGTTTAATTAGTTAAAGCGTTAATTAATTAAAGAAAGGGTGATTATGAACCTTAGCCTACGATAATTGAGCTATGTGAAAGGCCGTTTCAAATTTGTTTGAACCATGGGAATGTGTAGATTAAATTTTGGTTGTAATTTGATATGATCAATTGTTGTAAAAGAGCATAAGCTCTTCTTTACTTTAAAGTAATTTGATTTGATCAATTGTTGTAAAAGAGCATAAGCTCTTATTTACTTTGAAGTACTCCTTTCTTGTTTTATTCGATATGCATGAAAATGGAGTAGTTGGGTCCAACGCCCAATAAGACAACACGCCTTAATGTGATTAAACGCGTAACTAAAATCAATCTCCATCCCTAGACCGAGATTCAACACTAGGCTCGTGTTTGAATCGAATCAAAGGTTCATAGTCATCCTAAGGCCCTAAGGCAACTATATAGTCCATCAATGAATGCAAACCTTATGTTAGTAGTATCATATACTCTTGCTTTAAAAATGGACAAAACAACTTTGCTCGTTTGATTCGTCTGGAAAATGCGTTAGTGATAACTCTAGTGCTTTTTCAAGATATGTAGCAGGGGAGGTTAGAGAGTATAGAAATCTCCCTTTGACGACTGATTGCGTAAGATCAAGGAAGAAGAAAATGAAGTTTTCTGGAATAGAATAAAGGAATAAGATTAATCGGCTGTTGAAAACAATGAACCATACAACTGGTTCAAAATCTTTTGCAAGAGTGTGGCAAGAATTTTGTATGAGTTGTACATTTTTAAGATATTTGTATATTCTGTTTGAGTTTTTGTATATTATGTGGAATATTGGATATAAAATATTTGTATATTTTGGCACTATTTTTATTGTTAATAATTTTTGTTAAGGTTTGTTTTGGCCTTTACATGAAATTTATTAATTTGGTTATATAATTTTTTTTAGTACCAATTAATTGAAAACGATGCAGATTCTCGTATTTTTTTTTTATTATTAACAAAGATGGTGTCGTACTAGTTTGAATATTTTACTTACTTAATTGTTATCTAACGTCGGTTTAGGTATATTTTATTTATTTAATTTTATCACAATGTCAGTTAAAACCGACAGTAGGGTGGATATATTATAATTAAATTACTAATGAGCGTCGCTTTAAACCGACGTAATGTTCAAGTATACGTCACTTTAAATCGACGTTAATGTCAGTGTCGCTTTTAACCGACGCTGCGTAGTGTCGGATTAAGCGAAAAAACCGACACTGAAGGCCTTTCGTGATGCTAGCATTAGTGTCGCTATTCTAATCCGACATTGCATTGTTTTATGTCGGATTTTTGCCAAATTGTCGACAGAAATTGTGTTTCTTGTCGGTTTTTGCTTCGCCAATGATAGCCTATATTGTAGTAGTGTTAGACCATATTCAAAGGAAATGTCTAATAAAGACTTTTTTCTCTCTTTCCGTGAGAGAGCTTCTCTCCTTTGGTGAGAGTTCTTCCCCTTTTTGGTGAGGGTTTCAATCTTGATCCATATCTTTGACATCGATCCTAGCTCCAGCTGGGGTCGATTGCCACTTTCCCTTTTCTTTTGAAAGAACTAATGCTCTAGTATGTAGCAAAACAAATCATGCCTTGATGAATTTGAATGGGAGAATTAGAGATTCGGACTCTAGTGATTCCACACCTTTGCTAAATTGTCAGCTAGTGATTCGGACTCTCTCGCGGCGGCGTAGGGAACTGCATTTCCGAGATTGATTTTCATAAAAAAGTGGGAAGCTATATTTTTAGGATTAATTTTCATAAAAAAAGTGGAATGTTGTATTTTCAGGATTGGATTTCATATTCGAATGAATTTTGTAATCATAACAAAGTAGGTTTTTTAGCAATGGGCCTAGCAAAAGAAAATTTTGGATAGGATCCTATAGGATCTGCCCCTTTAAAAATCGGACGTGAAAGTTTCCTCTCATCCGGTTTAGTAGTTACACCAAATAAAGATAAAGAGAGGGTTCCCACTTTAAAGAACGGATTTGATAGCGGAGTTGAACACCATTGCCTTGATTATGCCCCTTTTAGGAGAAAGTAGCAAGTAAATCGGATTCCAAAGTCGCTAACTAGGAAATTCAGGTAAGGCACCTCTACTACTCAATTTTCTTGACCCTGAGTCTTTCAGGAAGGCAACTGGCAATTAGAGATGACTTATAGGGAAACAGAATTCAATCGTCAGGCTACTTTTGGGGCTCTAGTAAAACAAGTTCAGATATGATTATTGTTTTTTAAAAAGGTGGCGCTATCGACACATTATTTACTTTTTATACACCCCTTTGTTAATTCGGTGATTTTATCATCATCAATTCTAAGTTTATTTTCTGCCAAGATAATGTGAGTCGCTGTGGAAATTGTGGGGAAATTGTGTTCTTCTTTTTACTCGTATTGCCCTTGGGTCTAGTATAGAAATTAAATGATGTTTGTTAAGAAATAAGTCTGCAGATCTGAAAAGAAATAAAAAGGAAGAGATAGTTTAGCTTAGCTATTAAGAGTACTAGTTTAGAGTGTTCAGATATCCGTCAACTTTTCTTTTCGAATGGGATGTTTCAGTGACTTTTGTTTAGATGCCAAAAACTTAAAGTTGAAAAATGCAACGCGTTTTATGGGGTGCGTCAACTTGTACCTAATCAATAACTTCCTATATTCCCACCTGCTTTTCCTCCTCCAACAGGAATCTGCACTTCTATTAGCATTGGTTTAATCGAAGAAAAACTTCGAGTTTAAATTTAGTAATGCTAGGAAGATTAAATTGGTAGATAAAGTTTTGTAAATTAAATGACATGAAAGTTGTTGAATTGATTGTTCCTTGAGCATTAATAATCGTGTTTATTCCTATTGGTGATACATCATTTAATTTGCAAATTTTATCTACAAATTTAATACCCTGTCAAACTTCCGTTGCTGTCAACAACATTTCAACGTACTGATCTCTGGTCATCGTCCTTCGTTCAGATGCCCTGCCTTGCTCTCCGGAGAAACCAATCCAGTACTGCATTTTATGAACAATTGCTCCAGATTTTAGTTTCTTTGTGTTGTAATGTTGTTTTGGCTGTGTTCTTTGGGCCATTTGGCTTTCAAAGAAATATATTTAACCACTATAGTAATATTAATATACTGAATTAGCCACAAAAAATAGGTCAGTACGTGCTCTTAATCATTTAAATAGGAGTCGGTTGATGCACGCTATAGTATTTATTTATTAAAATTAACCTCAACTTTTGCTGCAGGGGCAAAATGCCACCATAGAAAAAGATTGAAGCAACATATATGTCACCTCAATTAAAAGCTTCTTGTGGCTGTCATCTGCAGCTTCAGCTGTCAAAAAATCAGATAAGGACATTGCGCAATATTCGCAGAACTCTATGAAATAATACTCCATCTTTAAATGTGTATTGTTTAATTTGAAGTAAGTACAGAGATTATTAGTCCAGTATTTGTATTACTGTAACAAATGTCTTGTGAAAAATAGAGAAATTTGCAGACACTGCCTGATGGGACCTAGATATACTTGTCTAATCGTATTTTTTTCGTTCCAATCTAGAAATACGAATGTTTACAGAGACATCGTCATGCATACTTTTGGCATAATTCTAGGTAGCACTCCTTAAGCTTTTATCAGCTTCTAAAACTTGATTAGGTTACAAACAAATGAGCACATTTTACCAATCAGTCTTTGCCTAAGTTGTATGTTCACTAGTCTCTCTTGGCCCCACGCGATTATGGTGGGTTCTTTGGCACCACATGTAGGGTAAGTCTCATCAGCGTGCCAAATGTAGTATACGTATTGAATTATCGAGCAAACACACAGAGCCAATGAGACTTACCCTACATGTGGTGCCAAAGAACCCACCATAATCGCGTGGGGCCAAGAGAACCCACCGACCAAGTGGTGGTACGGGCCTGCTTTCCAACAACTCCCTCTGGATATTTCAACAGAGGCTAGTGACCAAAAAAATCCACTCTGCTGAATTACCTGAAACATCTCAAGTTAGTTACATCAAAAGTGAGTAACATGTAGTTCCACTTGATCAATTCCTAAATTTGAAAGAAATGTGATTTTGGACTCAATTGTGATCGTTAATCAACAACTGTATATGGATGTGTTTGTTTTGTTGAGCAGTTGTTGACGGGCATATAAAAAGACCACAAGATCACAAACAAGTCTCAGCGTTTATGGTTGCCTTTTAAGATTCATTTGGCATTAAATCGGTCATACCGGTGTTTTAATGAACATCTGTCCTTGTCGCAAACTAGTCTAAGCGTTTATGCTTCTTATGTTTTACTGAACATCTATCGTTGTCGTTCTTCATTATTGAAGTGCTATTAGCTCGACTGCCGAGGAATTCTGATTTGAATTTATAACACGGTGACTAATAATGCTCCGCATTGGAGTGATCTTGCTGCTCTAGAAATGTCAATGTGATAAAAGATACAAGAGGCTATGTATTTATTTTTGTTTTGTAGGCTGGAACTCCAGTGAAGCCGTATATCTGCACTATGCCGCTGAGGATGGATGATGGCTGGAATCAAATCCAGTTTAATCTAACTGATTTTGTCAGGAGAGCCCATGGAACAAACTATGTGGAGACGTTGCGAGTTCAGGTTCATGCAAATTGCCGTCTGAGGAGGATACATTTCTCTGACCGCTTGTACTCCGAAGAGGAACTTCCTCCCGAGTTTTAGATTGATCCGGTATTCTAATGCTCGTAATCATGCTTCTGTACCTTGTTGTTTGATGTCCACTCATTGACTATAATGTTTGTGCTGCACAGAAAGCGTGATATGATGCAACAAAGGAGGGATCGAAAGCATTGGAGCTGGATTTTGAGACTTTTTCAGATTGTAATTTGTGCTAGTGTGGCTTTTCAAAAACAATAAAGAAACAACTAAGTTGTAACAGAGCATATTTTATGCAGAGAGTAATTTGTGTGGATCCAAATCAAATATAAGCATGAAGCAGAACTAACTGTAATGTTTGCTTGTTTCATTTACTCTGTTTCTTCCCATCTCTCTTCTCCTCCCCTGCCCTGCCCCGCCCTTCCCTTATTTGCAATTATTCATAGTGATACTACAAATGTACGAGTGAAGTCCCGAAGTTCTGAGTGTGCTTAATTTGTTTAATTCTGGTCCCTTTTTCGAACTTATTTTGTTAACGTCAATTGTTGTTTCGCCTCGCGGTTTTATTGTTCCCCCTAAACTCTTTTGCCAATGCCAAAGGCAATTTCTGCACAATTTTTCACTTTCTGCACACTCCCTCTTAATAAAGCGAGAACAATATAACAGAAGAGAGAACCCTTCAATTTTTCAGAAATAACTAATGATGATGAAAAGAACAATATGTTCATAACAGTTCATCTGCAGTATTCATCTAAAGATGTATTACCGATTTTCAATTGTCAAGTGCTGTGTTCTTGACAAGAATGAATGCTTTCGGACCATGAAATGAACCATCTATAACAGATATTACATGATTTTTCTACACATTTATATAAAAAAAGCTTCCCGAGTGTTTGTATTTGATGGGAAAGTAGCACCAGTGCAGAATAAGATGAAAAGTAACAGCAGTGCAGGCTTAATGATCCACTGAGCAGAGATGCAAGTAGCAGTATTGGGGAAGAAGCTTTGAACAATATCAACAGCAATGTCATCAGATTTCGGAGATGCATCCAAGTTCATATCTTTGCTTCCACCAAGAGACTTCTCCTTCCCTCGTTTGCTTGGTGAACCAACGCCGGTTTCCTATCAAAACTCAAGGGCACAAACCTGCTTAAATGTCACCAAAACCTTATTTGAAGCCATACATTTTTGCGGTGAACCATCCTTGCTTTTGACATCCATCTCCCCTTGTTTCTTCGGCTCATAACATCCCCATGGTAGAGTTAAATGCTGTAATCTCTCAGTTCCTCTGGATCACTTCCAGAGAATAAGATGCTCATAGGCTGTGACAATAGGCACAATTTCAGACAAATAAAGTGCAGGATCTTTTTCTTTAAGGAGAGTATGTGGACATTCCAACAAAAATTCATGGAAGGTTTGTGTACAGTTATTGCAGTGAAAGACGACGGAGCTTTACCTTCAGATCGATACGTTCTCCCACTTTATTTCCACATCAAATTGTGAAAATCTTGTTTCTTCTCATCCGTTTCGAGAAGATGCCAACACAAGTGCTTTCCTTTTTGATACCCCAGCTCAACATATACGAATACTCCTAAATTCAAATATGGTGAAATTATAACCAATTGATTGATCTTATAAAACAAGCATGAGGAAACAATTCTGTTTATTTATTTAGTGGTCTTATAAATGATTGATCGATCTTAGAAAAGTTGTTTATTTATCGACTTTTCATAAACAATTCTGAAGAAACAAAAGTGAAATGGAACTCAATTTTTGTTATCTGCAGTGTTCAATATATGAAATATCGTTCCTGTGAAATGTGTAGTGCAGCAACAACCCACCTGTTCTAGTAACATAATGTACTGACTTCCAACAAGCACAGGCATGAGGGCAGTGCTACAAAGAAACCTCTCTTTTTTTTTTTTTTCGTGTGCTGTTCGTCACCCATTCTCACTTCAACAGCTGTGTATGTACAAAAAGAACATATCTGCACCCACTCGAAGATGGCAGCGACATGAAGAGAAGATGAAAACGCATGTTGCTTGTATTGAAAATAAAGCACTATAAGAGTAAAACATCATTCCAGGGGTTACCTATCCAATTGGAGGAGAATCATATTCATGCCAGACTGCAGGAGAACCATTCATGGACAACTAATTGATGGACGCTAAAATCGTTGGCCTTAGATAATCCAATATTTACAACAGTTCCACAGTTTGCTATCCATATCAGCAAAGCCGAGAAACATGGTAGTGAAATAATTTTGCCCTGCAAGCATAGTTGAATTTCACTGTTAACACTCGACTAATTAGCCTCAATTCTACATACAGATGTAACATATTTACAAAAGCCTTAGGAATAATGCCTTCACATTTTCCCTTACTTTTCCCAGTTTATCATCGCAATCAAACTCTGAAAGGGGGAACAAAATTTAGAGAGCAATGTGAAAGTTTTAGTGGGAGCAAAGTAGTAATCACTTGAGGTGTACCAAGATGCAAAGTAACAAGAAATTTTTGGAACCAGTTTTCGGGAATTGCTTATTCCTAAAATATTGAGTAAATAACTCCCGTTGAGAAGTTCAAATTTTACTTGAGAAAAAGAAACAAAAAAGATATATAAGTCCACACACAAGAATTAGAGGCAAAGAAAAGATTGCTTGGAGTTTCATCATCAAATTAAAAAAAATGCTTGTTTATTCTCATCGATGTTGAATGCAAATGTCAATTCGAGTGCATTCCTTTTTCGTACCTCGTCTCAAGAAGATACCCTAAATTCAAAGTTGAAGATACTATAAATTAACAAGTGATATAAGAAAACAAGCATGGGTCTCAGTGGAACCTAAAAATAAGTCAAAACAATTTTAGCACAAGCATGTTTAACCAGATTTTCATGACGAACCAAAATATGAAAAGCATTTCAACCAAATGGAAAAACATCTCAGATATTGATCCTTAACAATAGTTTTAACATCAATTATAGAAAGCAAGAAGGGTAATTGAAAGGATGAAGATGTTAGAAATGGGAATTTACCTTCCGGTATCATGGCCATAGCATCGACCACCTCCGTGGGAGCGTCAGCAGCCTCCCTTATGAGTACTGAAACAATGCAGTCCAACTCCGGGACAGCATTCCCACTATCTGTAATGGTTCTCTTAGCTTGGGGATCTCTATCCTGCACATATATGATTGATTTAGTTAAAAACAGAACTCCTTGTTGGCACCGAAAGATGCTTGCCTCAAAGATTGCCATATGACCTTATTCTTTGGTAGAGCAAACCTTTCACGTTGGAGTCGTTGGACAGATCTTTTATTTTGCTACTCAATCTATCGGCGGCCTGGACGAAAGACTGAAAAGATCTCGCCACTCATAACGCAGTAAACAGGACAATTACAAAGTTATAATTTGCATATTATGTATCTTCTACTTACTTTAGTGTTAAGAACCTCATCACAAAGGAAATTCAAAAGCCTAAGCTTCTGGGAGAAGCTTAAGGCATCATATCCATCTCCGCCTCCACTAAAACACTCTACGGGCAACACTCTGCGGCAGCTCTTTCATAACAGGGTCGACCTTAGAGACCCTACCCTGGATGCGGAGATCAGGTTCTCCAAATCTCGGAACCATGAGCAGTTGGTGCTTGCTTGCTCTAGAGACATAACAGAAAATAAAGTTGGCATAAACCACATGAATTATTTTCACCATTAAAGCTTACTAAAAGTACTTTACACATAACTATAATACACTAGGTAGAGTTCTTACTCCTGTTGAAGAAAAACATATAGCTATGAAATCGAACAATGGAAAACTGTTCAGGCCGTCCACTTCCTCCACATGAGAGTTCTCAAAGAACAGATTCAGCTTGGGACTTTCCAATTTTAAAAAAACTAGAGTAAAAAGAAACAAGAAAAGAAAATGGGATTTCAAGTGAATTGGAAGTTCAGGAATGTTTTAACACCCCATAAAAAGGGTGAACAAAATCAATTAAAAACAAGTTTAGAGCAACTTTTCAATCAAATATATAATAGAACATTCCCCACATCCTCAGCAGCTAATGGTGCCCTGAGGTAGGGGAAGATCAAGATCAACCTCTCAGCTCTCAAAGTGGCGTTCCTTGACCTGCGGCACCCTCCTGCAGCCTTGCCCTTGCCCTTGGCATCATTCTCATTCACAGCACCACCATCATCTCTGCTGCATTACAAGTTTCCATCAACTCGTCCTGCTTTGCTGCATCCGAGTACTCCACATCTTCTCTCTGATCAAGGGCGTTCTCCTTCCCTCGTTTGCCAGTTGAATCAACACAAATTGCCTGCCAAAACTTGAGACTATAAACCCTCTTAAACAGAACTAAAAAACAAACCAACAACAGTATCAATATGCATTCACAAAGAAAATACTATAATCAACTGCAGCTCCATCTCTGCTGTCAAAATCAACCTCTTGAGTCTCAATATTCCCAGGCCATTCCTTGACTTTATGACGCTTTCTGACTGCCTTGGCACTTATTGCTCATAGTAGCACCGCCATCTCTGCTGCCATTACAAATTTCCATCAACTCCTGCTTTCTTTTCTTAGTTTCCTGCTCAACAGATGGTGGAGATGCATACAAGTGTTTTCTTGGTGAAACAACACCGGTTTCCTTTAAAAACTCGAGGGCATATCTGCACCCACTGGAAGATGGCAGCAACATGAAGAGAAAATGAAAAGGCATGCTGCATGTGTTGAAAATAAAGCAGTATATGAGTAAAACATCATTCCAGGGGTTACCTATCCAATTGAAGGAGAATCATATTCATGCCGCACTGCAGGAGAACCATTCATGAATAACTAATTGATGGACATTTAAATCATTGGCCTTAGAAGATCCAATCTTTTCAGTTCCACAGTTTGCTGCCTGCATCAGCAAGGCCGACCAACACAGCAGTGACATAACTTTGCCCTGAAAGCATAGTTGAATTTCACTGTTAACATTTAACCAATATATAAGCCTAAATGATCAAAGATAAATTCTACAGATAGATGTAACATATTTAGAAAAGCCTTAGGAATAATGCCTTCACAATTTCCCCTACATTTCCCATTTTATCATCTCAATCAAACTCCGAAAGTGGGAACAAAATTTAGACATGATTTGACAAGGAAAGATAGCAATGTGAAAGTTTTAGTGGGAGCAGAGTAGTGGTCACTTGAGGGGTACCAAGATGCAAAATAATAAGAAAACTTTGGAACCAGTATTCCTGAATTGCTTATTCCTAAAATATTGAGTAAACAACTTCTGCAGAGAAATTCAAATTTTATTTGTAATGAAAACAAAAAAAAATAAAAAAAGATATCAAAGTCCTTCACAAGAATTAGAGGCAAAGAAAAGATTGCGTGGAGTTTTACCTTCAAGTGGTTGAGCTGTACTTTATGCATAACCATAATACACTAGGCAGATTTCTTACTCCTGTATGAAGAAGAGCATATAGCTATGAAATCGAACAATGGAGTACTGTCCAGGCCATCCACTTCGTCCACTTGACGAGATAGTTCTCGAAGAACGGATTCAGCTTGGGACTTTTCAATTTAAAAACACTAGAGTTAAAATAAACAGGGGAATTTTCAAGTGACTTGGAAGTTCAGGAATGTTTTTAGCACAGAAATGCGGTGCATAAAATCAATTAAAACAAGTTTAGAGAAACATTTAATCAAATATATAATAGAACAAAAGTAAGAATTACCTCGCTAAATGTTTCACAGAACTTCAAAAACTGGAGAGCATTTTCCATATCCTCAGCAGCTAATGGTGCCCTGAGGTAGGGGAAGCTCAAGATCTATCTCTCTGCTCTCAACGAGGCATTCCATGACCCTGCGACACCCTCTTACAGCCTTGCTCTTGCCCTTGGCATCATTCTCATTCACAGCAGCACCACCATCTCTGCTGCATTACAAGTTTCCATCAACTCGTCCTGCTTTGCTACATCCGAGTACTTCACATCCTCTGATCAAGGACGTTCTCCTTCTCTCATTTTCTACGTGAACCAACACACATTGCCTGCAAAAACTCAAGACCATAAGCCCTCTTAAACAGAACTAAAACCAACCAACAACAATATCAATATGAATTCAGAAAGAAAAATCTATAATCAACAGCACCACCATCTCTGCTGCTAAAATCAACCTCTTGAGTCTCAATCCTCGACTTTAAGATGCTTTCTGACTTCCTTGGCATCGACATCCTTATTTCTCATAGAAGCAGCACCATCTCTGCTGCCATTACAAATTTCCATCAACTCTTCCTGCTTTGTTTTCTTAGTTTCCTGCTCATCAGATTTTGGAGATGCGTCCAAGTTCATATCATTGCTTCCATCAAGTGATTTCTTCTTCCCTCGTTTTCTTGGTGAACCAACACTGGTTCACACTGGTTTCCTATTAAAAAAAAATGGAGGGCATCTTAAACGTCACTAAAACCTTGTTTGAAGCCATACGTTTTTGTGGCGAACCATCCTTGCTTTCGACATCCATCTCCCTTGTTTCTTCGGCTCATAACATCCCCAATGGCAGAGCAAAATGCTGTAATCTCTCAGTTCCTTTGGATCACTTCCAGAGAATAAGATGCTCATAGGCTGTGACAATAGGCACAATTTCAGATAAAAATAAAAGTGCAGGATCTTTTTCTTTAAGGAGAGTATGAGGACATTGCAACAAAAATTCATGGAAGGTTTGTGGACAATTAAAGTAGTGAAAGAAGACAGAGCTTTACCTTCAGATCGATGCGTTCTCCCACTTCATTTCCACATTAAGTTGTGAAAATCCTGTTTCTTCTCATATCCGTTTCGATAGGATGCCAACACAAGTGCTTTCCTTTTTCATACCCCAGCTCAACATATCTGAATGCTCCTAAATTCAATTATGGTGAAATTATAAACGATTGATTGATCTTTAGTAACCAAGCAAATGGATCTTAAAATGAAACCTAATTCGTTCAGCTTCTCAAATAATTCCAACCAATAAATAGATTGAGTTAGCATCAACATATACATGAGCTATTCACTTTATTACGCACACGGTTAACAAGTGGACTTTTTCTTTATATTAATGAATATAATCTCCGTCTCTCTGGCTATCTCCGTCTCTCTTTATCACACTTAGAAAGGGAAAAAAGCATGTTATGAACTTTTCAGAAACAATTCTGAAGAAACAAAAGTGAAATGGATCTCAATTTTTGTTCTCTGCAGTGTTCATCATATGAAATATCGTTCCTGTGAAATGTGTAGTGTAGCAACTACCCACCTGCTCTAGTAACGTAATGTACTGACTTCCAACAAGCGCAAGCATGCAGGCAGTGCTCCAAAGAAACCTGGCCTTCATTTTTGTTTTGTGGTCATCGTCACCCGTTCTCACTGCAACAGCTGTGTATGTACAAAAAAGAACATATCTGCACCCACTTGAAGATGGCAGCAACGTGAAGAGAAGATGAGAAGGCATGCTGGTTGTATTGAAAATAAAGCAGTAATGAGTAAAACAACATTCCAAGGGTTACCTATCCAATTGAAGGAGAATCATATTCATGCCACACTGCAGGAGAACCATTCATGGACAATTAATTGATGGACGTTAAAATCATTGGCCTTAGATAATCCAATCTTTACAATTCCAAGTTTGCTATCTGCATTAGCAAAGCCGACCAACACGGCGGTGACATAATTTTGCCCTGAAAGCGTAGTTGAATTTCACTGTTAACATTTGACTAATACATAAGCCTAAATGATTAAAGATAGATTCTACAGATGGATGTAACATATTTACAAAAGCCTTTGGAATAATGCCTTCACGTTTTACTTGAGATGAAACTATACAGAATCTGAATCTTGGCTATGGAATGAAAATGGTGCCATGTACGTACCTCACTTTGACTTGAGATCTCAAATGATGACTTGGTCGCCTATTTCGATGCAAGGAATGTGAGCTAACTTGCTCCACTCTTGTCCCGTCTTCTTCTGACACCGCTTCTCCAGGGAAGGACAATCCGTGATGCTCAGAAAAGAGAGCGATGCCGGCAAACCATCTTTTGGCAGGAACTTGAGACTAACACAGTTGAAAATTTTGAGCTCTTGAAGAGAAGTGAGGTGTTGAAGTCCCTTTCCCTCCAAAGATTTCAGACTTTTCATGTCCCAGATTTCGAGTATGTGAAGAGTGATAGGGAGCAGCTGTTCCTTGAGCAACGTCTCCAACACAACCTCGCTTCTCCAGATCAAAACAGTGCGAAGGGAGACAATTCGTTGCAAACCCCAATTCTTCACTGAAGGCTTCAGTTTCTCACAATCATAGATTTGAAATGATTGTAGGTTGGGAGGCAAACCCCCTTCTGCAAATGACTCAACATTTGGAAGTTCGCCTATCCATAAATCTCGAAGGCCGGTGAGGGTGTGTATTCGGTTGGGCAATAACTTCAAATTCTCATTCCCCGAGACTGACAAAAAAGCCAGCTTGGGAGTGGGCAATCCCCCGTGGGGAAAAGAGACCAGGTTTGGACACTTTGTGATGGAGAGATAGTTGAGATGAGTGAGATTTTCGTCATCAGCCCCTTCTCCAATGGAAAGGGATTCAAGATTTTTACTGCCCCAGATATCAAGAGTTGAAAGTTTGGGGAAAACGCCCAGCGGGAAGGACCTCAGTGAATCACAGCTGTCCCACAGTTCCAAATCTCGAAGGGATGCCAATTTGGCCATCATCTCATGAGATAGGAATTCTAATCTCCTGCAATTTTCTATTTTAAGATATGTCAACGAAGTGGGTAGACCATTTCTAGGGAACGACAAGAGTGATGCGCAGTTAACGAGACACAATCTTTGAAGACAATTGTTGAAGTGCGGCCGCAAGCATTCTCTGCGACTAAAAAATTCAATCTCAAGTTTGGAAAGCGAGGAAAGCGACTCCGTCTCCAGTAACCACGACAGACCAGGGCATTTAACTATCTGCAGTTCTTCAAGAGACTGTATCAAGGACTCCGTGTTAACGATGAGAGACCACGGTATCCATCTCGCTCTGGTAGCCCTTTCATGTAGAACCTCGCAGTCGGACACGGAAAGTTTTCTCAAGCAAGGAAGATGATCGGGCAAGTTTCCCCTCAGCTTCGGACATTTCTCTAAAGTCAGCTCCTCAAGACGGGGAAAGTCTAGAGATTGACCTCTACCTGGACAAGGTAGCCATTCCTCCCACTCCGGCATCTCTTTAAACTCTAGCTTCTTGAGAGATTGAAATGGCTGAATTAAAGAAGCTCCATTACCCCTGTAGAACTCAACACCAATACTCATGACAGATTTCATTCTTTCTATATATAACTCTTTGAGAACGGGTAACCGTCCAACTGGTGGCAACCACAAACAAGTACTACAATCAGTGAGACGCATGACTTGTAAGTTGGAGAAGGAAAAGTCTCCCAACCAATCTGGAAAGCTAGTTCCACCATAAAATCTGATTGTCAGCTTCACCAGGTTTACGGAAGGTTGTAGGCTTTCAAGTACATGTCTCTCTGTTATGGAATCATTTGCATCCTCACGACCCCATGCCAACTCTACTTCGTTCAGATCTTTCTTATCCTTCAAATTGGCCCCCAAGGCATCTATAGGATTGACAACATTTTGCAGATTCAAGATAGAGAATTTTCCTCGAAGGTGCGACAATTGCCCCAGTTCTCCAATGCCACCTGACCCAGTAGATTTCCCCAACACAAAAGCAGTCAATGTTCTCAAACTTTTTAGTCTACCCATTTGCACCGGCATCTCTTTTACACAAGTTCCATCAATATCAAGATGACGCAAATTTATCAATTTTCTCATGTCTGCAGGCAATTCAACAAGTGAGGAACAACCGAACAACAATAGAGTTTGCAAATTATAAAGAGTACACACCGTATCTGGTAACCTTATAATTGCAGTGTAAGAGAGATCAATGTAGCGTAAGTGCAAGTGTTTACCAATGTTATCAGGTATTTGAGTGATATTTTTATATCTTGACAGTGACAACACCCTTAAACATTTTAGTGCTGGTAACAAGTCCTCTAGAACCTTTATGCTTACATAGGTCACATTCCACCCCTCGTGTGGTCTTAAAGACATGGGAAATAGGGTGCGCAAACACTTAATTTCGTCCAATGGCTTAAACTTTGCAACAATATCAAATCTTCCTCTCATATATGACAAATGTCGAACTCGTTTAGGAACTTCATGTGGCTGTCCCTCATCCAACCTAAAACAAAATTCTCTAGACACAGTCATAGCCAAGTCGTTAATGAGATCATGCATTATGAAACTTGATTTCCCAATTAATGATCTTTGAAGTAGAGATCGTGACAATAGTTCATCAAAGTATTTCTCGCCGACCTCTTCCAATCCTTTACCACTCTCAGCTTGTGGAATTAAACCCAGTGCCATCCAAAGTTGAATTATATTTTCCTTTTCAAATTCATAGTCCTTTGGGAAAATTGAGAAATAAGCAAAGCATTGTTTCAAATAAGTAGGGAGATAATAGTAACTCAATCTTAATGATGGAAGAACACCTTTATCATGCAATATCTCCCAAAGATTGTTGTTCAATATGTGACTCCATTCCTCGTAATCCACATTACAACCTAAGAGACCACCAAGTGCTTTTGCAGCTAAAGGAAGACCATTGCACTTGCGTGCAATTTCCTTACCAATTTCTTCCAAGTCTGGATTCGCACTAGGATTTTCATTTCTAAACGCATGTTTTGCGAGTAACAACCAACAATCTTCATCTGACAAATGTTTCAAGTAGTGAATAGGCACGGTGTGCACTAGGGATGCAACACTTTTGTTCCTCGTTGTTACAATGACCTTACTTCCCCTCGCCCCATAAGTAAAAGGAGCCCTTAGAAGATCCCAATCACTATAGTTGTCATTCCAAAGGTCGTCCAACACAAATAGGAACTTTTTCCCCCTCACTTGTTCCCTTAGTTCAACTTGAAGCAAGCTATCTTGAAGACTGCAAGGTTTTGAGCTAATTGATTCAATAAGGGTTTTAGTTACCCTCATAGCATCAAAATCTTCGGAAACACATGCCCAAGCAGTAACATCAAAATGCCCTTTTATTTTTTCATCGTTGTAAAGGACTTGAGCAAGGGTTGTCTTACCAACCCCGCCCATTCCCAATATGGGGATTATTGATACGTGGCTGCTACTCGAATAATCAGATAGCAACTTTGTTTTCAACTTGTCTTTATCTCCATCCCTACCATAAGGACAAAATTCATTCTCAACGAAGAATGTTGTGGGAGTTCTTCGAGAAATTTTCCCCTTAACACCTCCTATAAGACCAAGGAGATTAATTTGTTTTGCGAGGTGTTCTAACCTTTGGAATAACTCTTGTATCCTACCATTCATGCCATGATAAAAAGGATTAAGAGAGGTAGATAGGAAGTTCCACACCTGGGTTTTCTTAGTTTGAAATTCAGCTTCCACCTTGGAGCGCAAAGCTTCAGCATCGATCTCATCGAGTAGATCCTCCGCATCAAAGACAGCATGTTTGAGCTCGTCGAGCCAGCTTCCCACAACAGGGTTGACAATCTGCTTCTTCTCTGCATCATTGAGCACTGCATGAAGGGTCAACAACGTCAGCTTCAACTTCTCCATGAGCGAACGATCATGCTTTTTCCCCCGAAACAGATCCAAGAACTCGCCGGAACCAATCTTGTCGCACATCACGTGGATGGAAGCAGAGAGAAAAGCCTCTCCTATCAAAGCTCCTGCCATTTCACCTCTCTCTCTGTTTTTCTTTTTTCTTCGAAGAATTGTTAGAGGTGAGGAAGAATAAGAGACAATAGGATTTATTGTTTCGAAAAGAGACTACTTGATAAATAAAAGGCATTATCACAACTTGGGGTGGTGAGCAATCCCACTAAAATAGAACTTAATATATACATATTAAATACAAAAACAAATTGATGTAAAATCTCCCAACGACTAATATTATTCCAAATCATGTATGAAACATACACATTTGTCCCTTCATGCTACTTGGTTATAAGGAAACATCATGCATTTATTAATACTATTCAAAGTCATGTATGAAACCTATGCATTTGTCCCTTCATGCCACTTGGTTATAAGCAAACATCATGCATAAGTTGTTTACTAATTAGCATTACTACTATTAGCTTATATCATGACCGTTTTCTTTCTATTATTCATACGCCCAAGACATTGTAAGAAATAATATTGATTATTCAAAACGAACCAACAACTAGTTGCACAGGGTCACAGTCAGTGATACTCCCAACTTGATAAAGAAAGAAAAACAAAGGAAGTTGACTTCCAAACTAAAATAAAATGTATATAAATATAGAAAATTATTATTAGCATTCCAAAAATCTCATTTGACACTCCAAACTTTTTATAATTAGAAGGAAAAATACACTTGTGCGGAGTGTAGAATGAGATTTTTGGAGCGCTAATAACAATTCCCTAAATATGTCTTAACAAATATTGTACGTGGCATTGACTTACAAAAGTTGGGAGCTGTTTTTGTGTTTGGTAAACATTCAGCTTCAGTTTTTTTTCACAGTTTTGGATGAAAAAAAGCCAAAAACAAGAAGCTGCAAAACCCAGCTTTGAAAAACCGGTTTTTTTTCACATCTGTTTTACATAAAAGTTTACCAAACACTATAATATTGTTTTTTTTTTTCAAAAGCACTTTTACAAAAAAGTTTACCAAACACTTTGCTGCTTTATTTCACAGCTGCTTATTCTCCCAGAACAGCAGAATCAGCTTTTTTTCAAAGCACAGCAATACCAAACCAGCCCTTAGACTTTCGCGAATAGACTTATAATTTCTGGTATCTAATAAATATCCAGATTGAAAATATTCATCAATCTACAAAATTTTCTCATGGAGGTACCCATTTTTTTGCCACAGATACCAATATAGAGGCTAAAAGACAATACGATATTAAATTCATATGTGGTTGAGTTATTTATGAGTTTAATCATTAGAATGCATAAGCTCAATTATACATTCAAGTTAGATCAATTCCTGAAGTTTTGGTCAACAATAAAATTGCTTACTTATGAGTTCACCTATAAAACGTGCAAAGGCGATATACTTTTTAACCACAGTTCTATGTATTCTGAATTTTTGTCCACAACTTTTGTGGCATATAGAGGCTAAAAGATGCTACGATATTAAATCCATACATGGTCGAAATATTTATCAGTTTAATCATTAAAATACATAAACACAATTATGCATCTAGGTTAGATCAATTCCCGAAGTTTTGCTCCATAATAAAAACTGCTTAGCTATGAGTTCGCCTATAAAACGTGCAAAAGCGATATACTTTTTAGCCACAGTTCAATGTAATGTGAATTGTTGTCTGCAATTTTTGTATCTAATAAATATCCATGGTTAAAAATATTCATTGATCTACCAAAAGTTATCATGGACGTACCCATTTTTCTACCACAGATAGGAATATAGAGGCTAGAAGATTCTTATTTAATTAAAACATACCAAACTCATTAAACACTTTAACCAGAAGCTCATACCGATTATTAAGCTAATTAGTGCTCTAGAAATTTAGAGATGTCAAATGATGAGAAAAGGAAGAGGAAGAGGTTTGGATAACTACGGAAGAGTAGATGGGGTTGCAGAATGACAACCATGGAAGATGGAAGGAGTTTTTTAAGAGAGAGAGAAGTGGATTTGCTCCATGGAGATGATGGATTGGTTAGCGTTTTATTTTTTATTTTTAAGTAGATTGACTTGGGTGTAAAAAGAAGTTTGATTGAGTTGAGTTTTGATAAGTAAGGGTGATTTCGGAAATACGTTGGGTGTAAATAGATAATGATAGATAAATCAAATACAATGTGGATACAAAAAGTAAGTTGGGTGTTAAGATACAAAATATGAGTTCAAATAAAAATTCCCAAACTCTCCCATGGTCAAGTTAGTGAATGATTTTAGACTTAAGCAGTGGACAAGAGAATTCAAGTATTTAGATTGTGTTATCAGAGATGAACCTTACATGGGTGTATTTATATAGATAGACATTTTTAGGATAGAAAATATCTAGGAATAGATATTGCATTGTGATTACTTGTTGCACTCTCCTATCCCTAGATTGTAGGAAATTCAAGATTTAAAGGATCTGATGGTGTCCATATCTGGATCAAAGCATGGTTATCCAGCAGAGTCATAAAGACTCCGATTGTTGCCCCGGAATCAAATAATGGTGGCATCATTATCTATCTAATACAACTCCGTCCGCAGCTGATGAATCCATAACCAGACTGCTGAAGTAACTGTATTCAGATCAGCTTTGTTCTCGAAAATCATCATCCACAATTAACTCCAACCATTCATTTGAAAGGCAATCTGATCCCCTTGATGATGGATTGTTATCCAAAGGCCATTTGTTTTGCTCGACTGCGTTCACATCATTTGTCAGGCTGTCAGCCATTAAAGCTTTTGACCCAATGTAGCTTTTCGACAAAGACCCATAATTTCCAAATGAGCTATGAATATTTCAATTTCTGGAGCTTTAGGGCTGGTTTGGTATTGTTGTGCTTTGAAAAAAAAACTGCTTCTGCTGTGCTATGAGAACAAGCAATTGTGAAATAAAGCAGCAGAGTGTTTGGTAAACTTTTTTTGTAAAAGTGCTCTTGAAAAAAAAAAAAAGCAATATTATAGTGTTTGGTAAACTTTTATGTAAAAAAATGTGAAAAAAAAAACCGGTTTTTCAAAGCTGGGTTTTGCAGTTTCTTGTTTTTGGCTTTTTTTCATCCAAAACTATGAAAAAAAAGCTGAAGTTGATTGTTTATCAAACACAAAAATAACTCCCAGCTTTTTTTTATAACAGTTTTTTTCATAATCACTTCAGTACCAAACCAGGCTGTAGGGCTTGGTTTGGTATTGTTGTGCTTTAAAAAAAAAGCTGCTTCTGCTGTGCTGTAAGAATAAGCAGTTATGAAATAAAGCAGCAGAGTATTTGGTAAACTTTTTTTTTGTAAAAGTGCTCTTGAAAAAAAAAAGCAGTATTATAGTGTTTGGTAAACTTTTATGTAAAACAGATGTGAAAAAAAACCGGTTTTTCAAAGCTGGATTTTGCAACTTCTTGTTTTTGGCTTTTTTTATCCAAAACTGTGAAAAAAAAACTGAAGCTAATTATTTATTAAAAACAAAAACAGCTCCTAACTTTTTTTGATATCAACTCTTTTCAAAACCACCTCCGTACCAGACCAGGCCTTAGTATTCTGGGCTTATTCTGCAACGGGGTCTTGCAAAGATACATGGTGTATTTGCATAGAGGTTCGTGACTGAAATTGCAGTGAAGGAAAACTGAGCCTCTGGGTGTTAATTGCATAGCGTCTCAGTCGGAAATTAGTCGGGGAAGAAGAAGGGGAGAGCGGGAGGGAATTTGGGGGTTGTGGAAGAGAGAAGAGGGTGGAGCACATGTGGTAAGCCATTTCCCTCTATGAAATTGGGTTGACTCACTTTTGCCTTATGTTCATAATGTATAGATCGGAGTGTTCGTCAACTCGGGCCACAACCAACTAGACGACCAACTGGACCGGAGTTGCTTGCAGCAGAATCGGTGGGACTCGACGGGTTGTTTCTCTTGATCTTTCCGAATTCGGACTCACTGGCTCCATAAGCCACCGTGTTGGTGGCTTGACAGTTCGTTGATGATGATGAGCGGTGGAGACGGAGGACTAGAAACTTCGATGATGATGAGTAGATTTGGAGATTTCTGACAAACTATCCAAAATTCCAAGTGAGGTCCCCAATTTGAATCTTTTATTATTTTCTTTAAGTTTTGAAGGTTGCCCCAAGGAATTGAAATAGGGATTTTACTTGGAAAAGGGAAAGGCAGAGAACAAAGAATCGTGAACTCTAGTATAAATGGTATTATAGTATTTTTATGGGAAATTTTTGTAAAACCCCTCTCAAAAACCCGACCTCTGATGTCCATTGGACGTCAGACGACGGCGGGGCACATGGCTGCACCTTTTACGGCCTTCCGAGGGCTTTCTAAGGGTTTTGGCTTTTTTCCTTCATTTTTGGATTTCGTCGCAGGTATAAACTTTCATCTCTTGTCGATATCTTACTACTTGAAGTTTGGTTTATGTTGAAAAACTGAGTTTCCGCTCACTGGAAGCCATCGCGCATGCGACTCATGTAGTGGTGTGTGGGCAACTCTAGTGACATGGATTTTGGACAGATGTTCTCGATGCCCCAAAGCCTATATCCAAGGGTCGTTTGTTGAGATTCGATGCGATAGTTAATTATTCAATTTTTGAATTAATTGTATCGTCGTTCAATTTTCACAATTGACATCGTTGGATCGTTGTGCAATTTTACGAGTATGCTATTTATTGATTGTCGATCCTTTGTTAACCTGTGGAATGGAAATCCAATGTTTGGATCTTTTATACTGAAGAATCTAGTGTAGAATGTCACGCTGAAACTCAAAACTCAAAACTCTCTTCATATTTGCCTTGTTTTCCTAAATTCATTAAACATCCATTAAATTTGCTTATGTGGCTTTAAATTCTATGAAATCAATGGAATTTTATATTTTTGTTGGATTAATATTTTGGTTTGCCGTTATTGTTTGATTTGATTAACAATTTGGCCCCATTTTCATAAAATTAGTTTGGTTTTACATATACATTTTTTAACCCACATCAGCATATATGACAATTTTTTAACAGAATTGACCAAAACAAAGCAATCTAGAGCAAATTTTGACTTTCATAGACTAGGTGGAATCTACTATATGAATCATAAAACACCACTTTGCTCAATTCTACATCAAGTTTTTCTTTAACTCCAAGCACTCTATATCTTTTCTTAAATTATCCATAAGAATTAATATACTAAATTAACTAAAAACTGACCACTATAGTAATATTATTATCCTAAGATAGCCAGTAAATTTTTTTATTCACTTAAATTATAATTCGGTTGATGCACGCTATATAAAATTACCTCAACTTTTTCTGCAGGGGCAAATTGCCGCCAACAGAAAAAGATTGAAGCAGCATATAGATGCCCCCTCAATTAAAAGCTTCTTGTGGCTGTCATCTACAGCTTTAGCTATCAAAAAATCAAAGACTTCGTGCAATATTTGCAGAACTATGAGATTATTGCTCTAATATTTGTACACATGTAACACAAACGTCTTGTGAAAAGGTAGAGAAATTTGCAGAGACTACCTGAAGAGACCTATATGTATATATTTTTCTGCTCGTAACTTTTCCTTCCAATATAGAACTACGAATGTTTACAGACATGTCATTATTTAGGCGCATGCCTTTGAGGTATCGACATGAAGATAGGGTAAATTGTGCCTGGTGGTTTGATATTATGTGTTTGTTTTTTTGAGCAGTTGTTGATGGGCATATAAAAAGACCACAGGATGAAGACATACAATCCAATGTTCTTGAAATAGTTGGGTCGAACATCCCGTCCACGTACATTACTTGCCCAGCAGACCCATCAGCTACACTGAGTATAAAACTTCCGTTCCTGGTTATGATTGTAAAGAATCTGAAGAAATATTTCACATTTGAGATTCAAATTCTGGATGACAAGAATGTCAGGCGACGTTTTCGAGCTTCCAATTTTCAAGTGTGTAAGTTTGCCCATGTTTATTGATGTTTATCAACTGCCTTGAGATTCATTTGGCATAAAATTGGTCATGTTTCATTCTTACTTCTTTGTTAATATTATTCATGACTGAAAATGGTAGGTAAAGTTTTGGATTAGTAGGAGTTCTGGTGAACGTTTGCTGAACATCCATCGTCGTTCTTTATTATTGAAGTGCTATTAGTTTGACTGTCGAAGAATTCTGATTTGAATTTACAACGCAGTGACTAATAATGCTTCCCATTGGAGTGATCTTGCTGCTCTAGAAATGTCAAAGTGATGAAAGATACAAGAGGTTATGTATTTATTTTTGGTTTGTAGGCTGTAACTCGAGTGAAGCCATATATCTGCACCATGCCCTTGAGGATGGATGATGGCTGGAATCAAATCCAGTTTAATCTAGCTGATTTTACGAGGAGAGCCTATGGAACAAACTATGTGGAGACATTGCGAGTTCAGGTTCATGCAAATTGCCGCCTGAGGAGGATATATTCCACTGACCGCTTGTATTCCGAAGAGGAACTTCCTCCGGAGTTTAAGTTGTACATGTCACGCCCCGATCCCGACATATGTCCAGGATGGACACATGACGTCACCCAAATACTCATATATCTCACATACCCCGTCTCAGGAATGTGGCAATCACAATTCGAGGATCAAATTACAAAGAAAATTTTCATTTACCTTATAGCTGCATCTAACCTCCTCGTTAGACTACCTACGTACCCTTAAATAGGGATCAAGCCATTCGTAGTTCATTATCACAAAATCAGACGTTTATTCCACTAAGTTCAAGCAGAAAAGCATATTATTCCTCAATCATTCAATATAACTTGACAATATGTAATTCCTCGACTCAGGCTACATAACCAATCCCCATGAAAACATGATTTCTCTCCCATCCAACATATAAATCATTATGTCACATCATGATATCGCAATTCACAACATACATCATATTTAAGGGCCAACGAAACACAAAACCATTCTCTAGCCACATTAATTAATTAATTTGATCAAAGTAATAACAATCATTCCCATATCTTCTAAATTCATACCTTACGAAATCATAATCGAATCATAGAAAATCCTGAAGGAGTCACTCAGACGTCCAACATCTTTTCTAACTCAATTCATAAGACTCTCGAAACCATTGACACAAATATATATATATAACTAAGGCTAGAGTGACACAGTTAGGCCAAACCTACTTCTTCAAACAATGAGATTTTAGGCCATTCCATGAAATTCAACAACCTCGGGTTCCGAACCACTCAACGGAACCATACCAAATATCATCGTCTAAAAATGTACCATTTACAACTAATCATCATCACCTCTAGAATGCGTATGGCCCCCCATCACGGATATACCAAGCAGGACCATAGGCAAAAACTCATTGTGCAGGCAGTGATCACCTATTGCAGATATACCAAGCATGATCACCCTGAATATATATGGTGCCCCCATTGCGGATATACCAAGCAGGACTATCCATGTACTACAACTACATGGTGCAATCTCATCATCACACATTAAACATAATTATACCCATACATGCTATCATTCCACATATCAACCAGCATCAAGTCAGATGGAGCCCAACACAAGGAATTCCCTTAATTACTATTTCTACTAAAATCCCATAAAGTACCTAACTCATCTCCTGACTTCCATCTCCATCTCATGATAGGTAGACTGCCAAGTTCAAATAGATATACAGTTGGTAATCATATCCAAATAATTATCAAACAATATTTAAATCCCATAATTGTCATAACATTCATCATAATTATCAATCACATTATTAAAAAAGATAATTAAACACATATATGTCCCAAACGTCATCAGTGCACAAGCCAAATCCTATTTAATAAGCATAGGTCTATGGCTAAATATATAAAATCACATTTCAATAGAAATCATATTCATAAGACCAATTCTTAATCACAGTTGATATCAATATAAGAAATTAAGATAATAATCATGTCTCATATATTCAAGTCGCTATCAAACCAATATAAGCCCACTAGATTTTCACTAGTAATACCCTAAGGTCCGTAAACCATATCTACAATAACATACTAAAATTTGGTGTCAATTCAATGGTAAGATCGTCAATTACTAGAATATTTAAGTGACGGACCTTATCGAAAATATATTCAACCAATAGCATTTCATAAATCAAATGTTACATATCGGAAAATTCGACTTTTTCCAAAAATTCTCAAATTTCACAAGAATGAAGATCTCAACAAGTAGAGTAAACTTTATACCTACCGCCAAGGCTAATTTGGCCAGAAAACACCCCAAACTGGTCACGAACCGCCGCAACCCTAAGGTGGGTGTTCTTCAATTCGACTTCCTTGGTGTTCCAACGCCCCTACAACCTGTTGGGTCTTGTTCCTAGGTCCAAGGGGAATTGATTAAGGGTGATGGTGCATGGTGATACTCACCGGAACAACGGAATCACCATCAAAACTCCATGGGTCACCCGCACGATTTTTACTTGGTTTTGGACCTAAAACCCTTCAATCTTGGGCGAGAAAGGTAGAAGTGAGGTAGTGGAAGAGATTGCAGGTAGTTGGTGGTGGTTGTTCAACGGAAAAGATGGCGAAAATCGCCGAAATTTGCTCGGGTGGGGGCGCGGGTGTACGGATGGGAGGGGGAGGTCTCTTTCTTCCTTTTTCTTTTCTTTTCCCCCCTTTTTTTTCCTCTTCCTCCTCATTCCTTCCTTTTTTTTTTTAATCCCCTTAGCCGGTTCCCTTAACCCAAATAAAAATTTAGGCCTTTTACTCTCTAGTGGAAATTAAATAATTTTCACAACTTCAAACGTCTGTAACTATACCGTTATAACCCGAACTCCTAAACGGCTTGCGCCTATGCGCTCGTGGCTTCGAGTCCTATTCGAAAACGTTACCTGTAACCTCGAAAGGTCGAGTAAATAATTTTCCAAACTTCACTCTTCGTAACTAGTTTAATTGAAATCTAATTTCAAATAAATCAATATAAATTCTCGAAAAATAATATGAAATCTCAATAATACAAATACGTATATTATAACAGTGAAATCTGGAAACGGGGTTCCACATTCTTTCCCCCTAAAAAAATAAATTTCATCCTCGAAATTTCCAATATCAAATCACTATCCACGAATGCAACAATTCAAGAAAATAGTGATGCACAAACACATTCACATTTCGACTATAACCAGATTAAGCTAACTCAAGTTCGACCAACCTCAACTCACAAATACAATCATCGTCGTCCCAGTACGACCTCAACACCAATCTTTGCACAATCACAAAGAATGCCACTATTAATAAGAATTTATCAATACTCATGATTCTGGCAACCAAACCAACCAAATTTGTAATTACAAACTTTCCCCATCATTCCATTTATAATGAATAAGGTCATAACCTCAGCCTATGAGTTTATTCAAGCTCAAAATAAATAAATCAACAAAGATCATCGTGACCCTCACCCATAAACTTAGATTCCTAGCAATATTTATTGGCAGAATAATTATCAGGAATTCTAGACATACACATTGGCAAAATAATTATCAAACATCAAGCCGCAATTCTCATTGGCTAAAAAAATTCCAGATTATCAAACCACATCTACCATTGGCTAGATAAACGGTAGCATAATGACCACAAGCATTGGTAAAATCACTTACCATCATTGACTATACATAGCCGTCACCACGATTCTTCCTCAAAATTTCTAGCCACACCCACTAGTGATATTAACATCAGAAAATTTTCACCATACTCATCATTAGCAAAACAAATATTATAAATTCCAGCTGTAACCCTCATTGGTCAAATAAATATTAGAATTTCAAGCCAAACCATCAGAATTGGCAAATCACATATCAAAAATTCCAGCCACATTCATTGGAATTCCAATCACAATTATTCACCACTATATATTAAACCAATCATAGCCTTGGGTTGCGATTTCATTCCCACTCATAAAATCATCACGACTTTCATAAATATGAAAATTTTCAACCATAATTATCATGGCCATAAGATTTGAAAATGTCTAACCATAATCATCATTGGCGAAACAACGATTTCATCAATCATATAAATCACTATGGTTCAACATGATACCTTAATTCATAGCATGTAACATATCAAAGAACCAATGAAGCATAGTCTTATTCTCAAGCCACATTGATCCACCAATTTATTTATAATAATATCAATCACATCCAACATCATTCCACAATCACTGCAATTACTTATTTCCATGAATCAAAGATGCACGACATTAACATCTAACTACATCAATCTATCAATGAATAACATATCATTTCACAAATTTAATTAAAAAACTCTACATAAATCCCCACTTGGATTATAAGTAATAACATGGTGAATTCATTTATATTCACAAGGTCTACTGTTATGACTCCCCATTCACTCAAATCTAGGGTCAGACTAACCTTATGAAAATAAGCAAGAGCAAGGATTTCAAACAACTCAACGAAATCCAAAATATCCAATGGTTTCTCGTAATCTACCCAAATCTATCACATGTATAATCCATGCCTACATCATGAGAATGGTGCACTGGCCAACCAAAACTCAGATAACTGCAAAGCTCGGGTGAGCAACAATAATCCATGTATGTGATACAATTAATAAAACCAGCCATCAATTACAATTTATAAACCTTGAATATAAATCATTCATAAGAAATCAATACTAACCATTTGAAAACTCTGAAGGAGTCACCTAGACATCCAACGGTTCGTCTGAAGCAAATCACAATATCTCACAATCATAATCTCATGCAACACAATGAAAAGTAAGGCTAGAGGGATGCAGTTCGGCCGAAGTCTATATAAGTAACCAAACAGGAAGTGGCCCCCCAAAGCGGATTAACCAAGCAGAGCCACCCCTAAGAAAGTAACTAAGCAGGCAATGACCCCCCTAATGCGGATTAACCAAGTAGAGTCACTCCTACAGCTGTTAGGAAGTGATCACCCAATGTGGATTAACCAAGCATGAACACTCTTAAGCATACATGACCGTAAGGATCACCCAACGCGAATTAACCAAGCACGATCCATATATAGTATGGTCCCCCAATGCGAATTAACCAAGCAGGGTCAAGATAATCAGGTAGGTAGTGACTCCCTAATGCGGATTAACCAAGCAGGATCATAGTCCACTACTAGCCCTCAATTTACAAAACATTTCAATATGCAATTCGAATCACTTTTCCACAAATATTAGCAATCCATGAATCAAATCACATTTAATAATTATAGATCGATGGCCAATTATAAAAGAATCACATTTTAACAGAAAACACATTTATAAAACCCAATCATATCCACATAGGATAGCAATTACGAAAACAAGGTAATCACCAATATCACGTATATTAAAGTCACTCACCGAGACAAGTCCGCAAAGCTTCACTAAGTCTCTAGTAATAATAATTTTAGTAATTCCAATGGTTCAAGACCCGTTGACCAAAGTAATACCAATGCAAATCATAATTCCCATATATATAAACATATATCACATGAATGCATCTTTATGCATAAAAATTGTGAAATCATGTAACCACATGCATATCGTAATTCATGCCAACGAGACTCGAGAAGATTGCATATCATAGAGTATGATCACTTGCTCTGATACCATTAAAGTTGTCACGTCCCAATCCCGACATACGTCCAAGATCGACACATGACATCACCCAAATACTCGTATACCTCACATACCCCTTCTCAGGAATATGGCAATCACAATTCGAGAATCAAATTACAAAGAAAATTTTCATTTACCTTATGGCTACATCTAACCTCCTCGTTAGACTGCCTACGTATCCTCAAATAAGGATCAAGCCATTCGTAGTTCATTATCACAAAATCAGACGTTTATTCCACTAAGTTCAAGCAGAAAAGCATAGTATTCCTCAATCATTCAATATAACTTGACAACATGTAATTCCTCGACTCAGGCTACATAACCAATCCCCATGAAAACATGATTTCTCTTCCATCCAACATATAAATCATTATGTCAGATCATGATATAGCAATTCACAACATACATCATATTTAAGGGCCAACGAAACACAAAACCATTCTCTAGCCGCATTAGTTAATTAATTTGATCAAAGTAATAACAATCATTCCCATATCTTCTAAATTCATACCTTACGAAATCATAATCGAATCATAGAAAATCCCGAAGGCGTCACCTAGACGTCCAGCATCTTTTCTAACTCAATTCACAAGACTCTCGAAACCATTGACACAAATATATATATAAATATATATATATATATATATATAGAATTTCATGGAGTGGCCTATATATATATATATATATATATATATATATATAACTAAGGCTAGAGTGACACAGTTAGGCCAAGCCTACTTCTCCAAAAAAAGAGATTTTAGGCCACTCCACAAAATTCAACCACCTCGGGTTCCGAACCACTCAACGGAACCAAACCAAATATGATCGCCTAAAAATGTACCATGTACAACTAATCATCATCACTTCTAGAATGCGTATGGTCCCCCATCACGGATATACCAAGCAAGACCATAGGCAAAAACTCATTGTGCAGGCAGTGATCACCCATCGCGGATATACCAAGCATGATCACCTTTGAATACATATGGTCCCCCTATCGCGGATATACCAAGTAGGACCATCCATGTACCACAACTACGTGGTGTAATCTCATCATCACACATTAAACATAATTATACACATACATGCTATCGATTCCACATATCAACCAGCATCAAGTCAGATGGAGCACAACACAAGGAATTCTCTTAGTTACTATTTCTACTAAAATCCCATAAAGTACCTAACTCATCTCCTAACTTCCATCTCCATCTCATGCTAGGTAGAATGCCAAGTTCAAATAGATATATAGTTGGTAATCATATCCAAATAATTATCAAACAATATTTAAATCCCATAATTGTCATAACATTTATCATAATTATCAATCACATTATTAAAAAAGATAATTAAACACATATATGTCCCAAACGTCATCAGTGCACAAGCCAAATCCTATTTAATAAGCATAGGTCTATGGCTAAATATATAAAATCACATTTCAATAGAAATCATATTCATAAGACCAATTCTTAATCACAATTGATACCAATATAAGAAATTAAGATAATAATCATGTCTCATATATTCAAGTTGCTATCAAACCAATATAAGCCCACTAGATTTTCACTAGTAATACCCTAAGGTCCGTAAACCATATCTACAATAGCATACTAAAATTTGGTGTCAATTCAATGGTAAGATCGTCAATTGTTAGAATATTCAAGTGAACCTTATCGGAAATATACTCAACTAACAGCATTTCATAAATCAAATGTTACATATCGGAAAATTCGACTTTTTTCAAAAATTTTCAAATTTCACAAGAATGAAGATCTCAACAAGTAGAGTAAACTTTATACCTACGGCCAAGGCTAATTTGGCAGGAAAACACCCCAAACTGACCACAAACCGCTGGAACCCTAAGGTGGGTGTTCTTCAATTCGACTTCCTTGGTGTTCCAACGCCCCTACAACCTGTTGGGTCTTGTTCTTGGGTCCAGGGGGAGTTGATTAAGGGTGATGGTGTATGGTGATACTCACCGGAAGGGTGGAATCGCCGTCAAAACTCCATGGGTCACCCGCACGATTTTTACTTGGTTTTGGACCCAAAACCCTTCAAGAAAGGTAGAAGGGAGGTAGTGGAAGAGATTGTAGGTAGTTAATGGTGGTTGTTCAACAAAAAATATGGCGAAAATCGCCGAAATTTGCTCGGGTGGGGGCGCGGGTATACGGACGGGAGGGGGAGGTCTCTTTCTTCCTTTTTCTTTTCTTTTCCCCCCTTTTTTTCCTCTTCCTCATCATTCCTTCCTTTTTCTTTTAATCCCCCTAGCCGGTTCCCTTAACCCAAATATAAATTTGGGCCTTTTACCCTCTAGTGGAAATTAAATAATTTTCACAACCTGAAGTTTCACAACTTCAAACGTCTGTAACTACACCGTTATAATCCGGACTCGCAAACGTCTCGCCTATGCGCTCGTGGCTTGAAGACCTATTCGAAAATGTTACCTGTGACCTCGAAAGGTCAAGTAAATAATTTTCCAAACTTCACTCTTCGTAACTAGTTTAATTGAAATCCAATTTCAAATAAATCAATATAAATTCTCGAAAAATACTATAAAATCTCAATAATACAAATACGTAGATTATAACAGTGAAATCTGGAAACAGGGTTTCACAATACCTCCCAATGCAGGTAATTTAGATCGATCCAGTCTTCTAATGCCTGCAATTATGCTTCTGCACCTTGTCGTTTGATGTCCACTCATTGCTTATAATGTTTGTGCTGCACCGAAAGCATGATATGATGCAACAAAGGAGGGATCGTACGCATTGGAGCTGGATTTTGAGATTTTTTCAGATTGTAATTTTGCTAGTGTGGTTTTCCAAAACAAGGAAGAAACAACTAAGTTGTAGTGGTGCATGAAGCATGAAGTCTTGAAGTTCTAAATGTGCTTAATTTAGTTAGGGGTGTGATATTCATACACATTTTTTTTATCTTTCCCACACTTTTAGTTTTCTGCCGTCGGAATGAATAAATTAAAGATCAACAGACAAAAATTAACAAAAAATGTGTGAGAAGTAAAAAGAGGTGTGTGGATTGCACACCCCTTTAGTTAAAGAACGTCAATTATTGTTTTCCCTCGTATCTTTTTTTTTTTTTTTTTTTTTTTTTTTCCTTCCCTAAATCTCAGTTCACTCTTAGATTTCACTCTGTCGCTTTACATGTTGCACCTAAACTAATTAGCCAATGCCAAAGAACACGGATCCCCTCCGGATCTATTATGCCATTCGTTCATCGGGAATCGTGTGGTCAGTTTCGTCAAGTACTATTTGTGTTTAATTTAAAATAATAAAAGTAAAATGATTTATGACCGTACGATTCACGATGAACGGTTGAGATGTAGGAATCTTTAGGATCCCCCACATAATGGATCCGGAAGGGATCCGTTTCAAATGCGGAAGACGATTTCTGCCCAATTTTTCACTTTCTGCACACGCCCCTCTTAAATTTGGGCTTTGGGGCGATTAAGCGAGAACGATATAACAGAAGGGAGAACCATTCAATTTTTCAGAAATAAATAATGATGATGAAAAGAACGATATGTTAATAACAGTTCATCTGCAATACCACATTACAATTGTCAACTGTTGTGTTCTTGAGAAGAACAAATGCTTTCGTTTTCGGACCATGAAATGGACCGTCTATAACAGATATCACAGGAATTTTCCACACATTTATGTAACAAATGCTTCCTGAGAGTTTGTGTTTGATGGGAAAGTGGCACCAGTGCAAGCGTAATGATCCACCAAGCAGATATGCAAGTAGCAGTAGTGGGGAAGAAGCTTTGAACAATACAACAATGTCATCAGATTTCAGAGACGCATCCAAGTTCATATCTTTGCTTCCACCAAGAGACATCTCCTTCCCTCGTTTGCTTGGTGAACCAACACCAGTTTCCTAACAAAACCCGAGGGCATAAACCCGCTTAAACATCACTAAAACCTTGTTTGAAGCCATACATTTTTCCAGTGAACCGTATCCTTGCTTTCGACATCCATCTCCCCTTTGTTTCTTCCGCTCATAACATCCCCAATGGTAGAGCATAACGCTGCAATCTCTCAGTTCCTTTGGATCACTTCCAGAGAATAAGATGCTCATAGGCTGTGACAATAGGCACAATTTCAGATAAAACTAAAAGTGCAGGATCTTTTTCTTTTAGGACAATATGTGAACATTCCAACAAAAATTCATGGAAGGTTTGTTTGTGCACAGTTAATGGAGTGAAAGTCGACGGAGCTTTACCTTCAGATCGATACGTTCTCCCACTTTATTTCCACATCAAATTGTGAAGATCTTGTTTCTTCTCTCCGTTTCGAGAAGATGCCAACACAAGTGCTTTCCTTTTTCATACCCCAGCTCAACATATACTAATACACCTAAATTCAAATATGGTGAAATTATAAACAATGGATTGATCTTATAAAATAAGCATGAGGAAGCAATTCTATTTATTTATTTAGTGGTCTTATAAATGATTGATCGATCTTAGAAAAGTTGTTTATTTATCAACTTTTCAGAAACAATTCTGAAGAAACAAAAGTGAAATGGAAATCAATTTTTGTTATCTGCAGTGTTCAATATAAGAAATATCATTCCTGTGAAATGTGTAGTGCAGCAACCACCCACCTGTTCTAGTAACATAATGTACTGACTTCCAACAAGCGCAAGCATGAGGGCAGTGCTACAAAGAAACCCGTCTCTCATTTTTTTTTTTTTTTTTTTTTTTTTTTTTGTGGTCATCGTCACCCGTTCTCACTTCAACAGCTGTATATGTACAAAAAGAACATGTCTGCACCCACTCGAAGATGGCAGCGACATGAAGTGAAGATGAAAACGCATGTTGCTTGTATTGAAAATAAAGCAGTATAAGAGTAAAACATCATTCCAGGGGTTACCTATCCAATTGGAGGAGAATCATATTCATGCCAGACTTTAGGAAAACCATTCATGTATAACTAATTGATGGACGCTAAAATTGTTGGCCTTAGATAATCCAATATTTACAACAGTTCCACAGTTTCTGTCCGTATCAGCAAAGCCGAGAAACACAGTAGTGACATAATTTTGCCCTGAAAGGATAGTTCAATTTCACTGTTAACATTCGACTAATTAGCCTAAATTCTACATATAGATGTAACATATTTACAAAAGTCTTAGGAATAATGCCTTCACATTTTTCCCATACTTTTCCCAGTTTATCATTCAATCAAACTCTGAAAGGAGGAACAAAATTTGGACATGATTTGACAAGGAAAGATAGCAATGTTTAAGTTTTAGTGGAAGCAAAGTAGTAATAACTTGAGGTGTACCAAGATGCAAAGTAATAAGAAAGTTTTGGAACCAGTTTTCATGAATTGCTTATTCCTAAAATATTGAGTAAACAACTCCCGTAGAGAAGTTCAAATTTTACTTCGAGGAAAAGAAAAAAAACAAAAAGATATGTAAGTCCACACACAAGAATTAGAGGCAAAGAAAAGATTGCGTGGAGTTTTACCTTCACGTGGTTTCGCTTGCTTCCTTCCATCATCAAATTGAAAAAATGCTTGTTTATTCTCATCGATATTGAATGCAAATGTCAACTCGAGCGCATTCCTTTTTCATACCTCGTCTCAGGAAGATACCCTAAATTCAAAGTTGAAGATACTATAAATTAACGAGCGATATATGAAAACAAGCATACATCTTAGTGGAACCAAAAAATAAGTCAAAACAATTTTAGCACAAGCATTTTTAACCAGATTTTCATGAAGAACCAAAACATGAAAAGCATTTCAACCAAATGGAAAAACATCTCCAATGTTGAGCCTTAACAATAGTTTTAACATCAATCATAGAAAGCAAGAAATGGGAATTTACCTTCAGGTATCATGGGCATAGCATCGACCACCTCCGTGGGAGTGTCAGCAGCCTCACTTATGTGTACTGAAACAATGAAGTCCAACTCTGAAATCGGGACAGCATTCCCACTATCTGCAATGGTTCTCTTAGCTTCGGGATCTCTATCCTGCACAGATATGATTGATTTAGTTAAAATCAGAACCCCATGTTGGCACCGAAAGATGCGTGCCTCAAAGATTGCCATATGACCTTATTCTTTGGTAGAGCAAACCTATCACGTTGGACAGATCTTTTATTTTGCTCCTTAAACCATCAGCGTCTGGACGAAAGACTGAAAAGATCTCGTCACTCATAACGCAGTAAAAAGGACAAATACAAAGTTATAATTTGCTTCTACTTTAGTGTTAAGAACCTCGTCACAAAGGAAATTCAAAAGCCTAAGCTTTTGGGAGAAGCTTAAGGCATCATATCCATCCCCGCGTCCACTAAAACACTCTACGGGCAACACTCTGCGGCTGCTCCTTCATAACGGGGTTGACCTTAGAGACCCTGGATGCGGAGATCAGGTTCTCCAAATCTTGGAACCATGAGCAGTTGGTGCTTGCTTGCTCTAGAGACATAACAGAAAATAAAGTTGGCATAAACTTACTAAAAGTACTTTACACATAACTATAATACACTAGGTAGAGTTCTTACTCCTGTTGAAGAAAAACATATAGCTATGAAATCGAACAATGGAAAACTGTTCAGGCCGTCCACTTCCTCCACACGAGAGTTCTCAAAGAACAGATTCAGCTTGGGACTTTCCAATTTTAAAAAAACTAGAGTAAAAAGAAACAAGAAAGGAAAATGGGATTTCAAGTGAATCGGAAGATCAGGAATGTTTTAACACCCCATAAAAAGGGTGAACAAAATCAATTAAAACAAGTTTAGAGCAACATTTCAATCAAATATATAATAGAACAAAAGTAAGAATTACCTCTCTAAATGTTTCACAGAACTTCAAAAATTGGAGATCATTCCCCACATCCTCAGCAGCTAATGGTGAAACCCCCTTCTGCTCTCAAAATCACCGATTCGAAATTCTTGTAGGTTGGGAGGCAATCCCCCTTCTGCAAATGACTCAACATTTGGAAGTGCGCCTAGACCCAAATATCGAAGGGCAGTGAGGGTGTGTATTCGGTCGGGCAATAACTTCAAATGCTTGTGAAAGATACAGAGAAGAAGAGAGAAGATAGAGAGAGATAGAGAAAGATTTAGAGATAGAGAAGTAATCTTTTCATGTATATTTTCTGTGTACTACATTCTTACAATATCAAGACTATATGCTATCTTTTATGAAACTTATTGTCTAAGTCACAATGTAACTAACTCTAACAACCTTCCTAATCTTTTGACAAGTGTCTCCATTTCTACCATTGGATTACTATCCTTAACATCCCCCCCCCCCCCCCAAAGCTCAGGAAAGGTGGAATCTAGACTGAGATTGCGACAATGAGTCTAAAAGAGAGGAGCTGATAACCCTTTGGTCAGTATGTCTGCAAATTGCTCACTGGAAGACACAAACTGAACATGCAACTGCTTCTTGGCAACTCGTTCTCGAACAAAATGAATGTCAACTTCAATGTGCTTTGTGCGTTGATGTAGAATCGGATTTGATGTTAATGCAATTGCTGACATATTGTCATAGTACAAAATTGGTGAACTAGGAATATCAAGATGCACAAAGGTCAATAATTGTTTAATCCAGTCTAGTTCACTTGCAGCAGCAGCAATTACTCAATACTCGGCCTCAGTTAACGACCTGGATACTATTTGTTGCTTCTTAGAGGACCACGAGATCGGATTTGAGCCCAAAAATATCACAAAACCAGTAGTAGATCTTCTATCACTAGGGTCTCCGGCCCAATTAACATCAGAAAATACTCTCACAGTGTCTGAATTCACTTCCAATCCTCCTCGAACATACCTAATACCCAAACGGACAATACCTTTTAGATATCTAAGTATCCTCTTGACTTCACTAAAGTGAGATTCCATGGGAGTTTGCATGAACTGACATACTTGATGCACGGCAAAGGCTATATTTGGCCTAGTGAATGTTATATACTGCAAAGCACCAACCACACTTCTATAAAGAGTTGGATTGTTATAAGGTTTCCCATCATCAAGAATTAATCGATTATTAGGCAGACATGGGGTTGAATAAGGCTTGGAATCAAGCATTTCAGTCTTTGTGAGGAGGTCTTTAACATATTTTTCTTGCGATAGAACCAAACCATCATTCTGTGAAATAACCTGAATTCCCAAAAAGAAATGCAGAGGACCTAAATCTTTTACATCAAACTCCTTTGTCAAGTTAATAATCACATCATTGATCAAACTTGAAGCATTACCAATGATGATAATGCCATCCACATAGAGAAGTAATAGCACAATAAAAGAACCATACTGTTTTACAAATAAAGATGGATCTGCATGAGTTGTTTTGAAACCAAGTGATGGCAAAAAACTTGTAAACCTGTCATTCCAGGCTCTAGGGGCCTGTTTTAACCTATATAGAGACTTGTGTAGTTTGCAAACATAGTCAGAGTGTTGAGGATCACTGAAAACTGGAGGTTGTGACATGTACACCTGTTCCTGCAATACTTCATGCAAAAATGCATTCTTAACATCGAGTTGTCTCAAATTCCACCCAAAATGAGTTGGCATAGCCAACACAAGCCTCATAGTTGTTGGCTTAACAACTAGACTGAATGTTTCCCCATAATCTATGCCTTCCTCTTGATTGAATCCTTTTTGCCACCAATCGAGCCTTATATCTCCCTATGGACCCATCAGCATTCTTTTTAATCTTAAACACCTATTTACAACCAACAATGTTTTTCTATGCAGGAAGAGGAACTAGACTCCATGTAGACTGAGTATGGAGTACATCTAATTCTTCTTTCATTGCATCAACCCAAACTTTACACTTCAGTGCAGATTTGTATGTTGCAGGTTCAACAGTAGAGAGATCCACAGTCTTACTTTTCTGAACTGTAGTAAGAAATGCCTTCTTTTTGGAAGTACCACTCTTTGATCTAGTTTGCATTGGATGCAAATTCAATGGAGGAATAGATAACACTGCTTGAATACTTTCAGGTTGAAACTCATAGACAATAGAGTTCTCAATTGGAACCTCAGAAGCCACAAGGATATGTAGCGATGAAGATTGTTCACTTACATTGATGGATTGTGTTGAAGGTAGTAGGTTAGGATCACTGAACAATGGTGATGGTGATGATGATGATGATGATGATGTACTAGTAGATGAGAAAGAATGGTGAGAAGCTATAAAAGGTGAGACTAGCACATTATCAAGATTATGCATTGATGGTTGTACACTTGGTTTTGACACTTGTGATGTATGGAGACTTGGTGCATGTGTTGATGTAATAATTGAATATGGAAATTTAGATTCATCAAACAAAACATGCCTAGAAATATAAACTTTCTTTTTGATGACTTCATAACATAGGTAGCCCTTGTACTGTGATGCATATCCTCGAAAAATGTGCTTAATTGTTCTAGGTTGTAACTTTGTAGAGGTTAAAGGTCTTAAAAGTGGATAATAAGAGCAACCAAAGATTTTGAGGTGACTGACATCATGGACAAAACCATATAGCATTTCAAATGGTGATTTATGATTCAGTGTTTGTGATGGCATTCTATTAACAAGATATACTGATGTTTGACAGGCAAAAGACCAAAATGGTGCAGGTAGGTGAAATGTTTGAAGAAGGGTGATTGTGGTTTCAATAATGTGACGATGTTTCCTCTCGGCCAAACCATTCTGTTCTGGTGTGTATGGACAAGATAAATGGTGACTAATGCCTTTGGAAGCAAGAAAAGTTTGTAACTGGTTCCCTATATACTCACCCCCTTCATCACTTTGAAGTGTTTTAATAGACTCTAAGATATGATTAAGTACAAACTGGTAGAATGTAATAAATGTGGGACAAACATCAGCTTTATTAACAAGTGGAAAAATCCAACAAAATCGAGTGCACTGATCTATGAAGGTAACATAGTACATAAAACCTTCTATAGACAGACATGGAACAAGACCCCATACATCACTGTGTATAATATCAAAAGGTTTGACAGATTTGTATGTGGTTGAATCAAAAGGTAGCTTGCTAATTTTGCCCTCAATACAACTTGAACACATCATAGGTACAGAATCAGAATTACTAGATACATTTGATTTTTTAAGCATAAGAGAAACAACTTTGTTGGAGGGATGGCCTAACCTATGGTGCCATAGACTAGAGGTTATTGGTTTGCCAATATAAGCAGCAGCAGATAAGGCTTTTGGTGAATGAGATGAAGACGATGTGAAGAAGATGGGATACAATCCATCATTGCAGAGACCTTTGAACAATATTCTCCTTGTGGCTTTGTCCTGAATCTAAAAACACTAAGCATTAAATATCAACCAGCAATTATTGTTAAGACAAATTTTATACACATAGAGTAAATTCTGAGATATTCTGGGCACATATAGAATTTAATTTAATTTTAGATTATGAAAGGGAGTCTGCAATATGGAAGATCCTTTATGAGAGACTTTCAAACCTTCACCACTAGCAGTTTGAATCATCTCAGTGGAGGGAAAAGGAGTTGCCAATGATAAATTCTTCAAATCTGCAGTCATGTGGTTTGTTGCACCTGAATCTGTAAGCCAAACTTACTGAGAAAAAGTTGAGTCCATTGAAGGTGCAGATGCATTGACATGCATAACATTCATTGATCCAGAAGTAGAATTAATGTTGGCATTGCTGAAATGACAAAATTATGCACTGTGGTTTTTTTTTTTCCACAGATTTAACACCCTTCAACTATTGCAGATTCAGTGTTCCGAAATCTACATGTACCAGCAAGATGACCATATTTACCACATATCTGACAAGAATTTCCAGAATTAGCATGATTTGGTGAAGTTCCAAGAATCCCACGAGCTGAATTTGAATAAATAGGCTCATTGTTCCCAAATTTGGAACCACTACTAGAACTTCCTTTTACCTTTATTCTTGTTGTAGATTGGTTTATACTGAGAGCCATATTAAGTTCCATAAGATCCTTCAGAATTAGACCCAGTAATTTGATTGTTGTAAGAAGACTGGTGTCTAGATTTCCCATTGAAACGTGTCTGAGAACCACTATGATCAGCAGCCATCGCAGTAAGAAAAGGAGTTGCAGAAGCACTCTTAAGCATTGCTTCTTCAACAAGCAATTGGGATTTCAAATCTTTAAGCGAAATAACATGTTCGCTACCTCTAATGATTGATCTAATTGTATTATACTCAGATGATAGGCCATTAAGAGTAAGAATTACTATATCATCATCATTAAACTTAACCCCAGCTGCAGAAAAATAGTCTCTAGCCTCTTTGATCCTTTGCAAAACATTACCCTTTTTAATATTCTGTAATTCTGACTTCATCTGGAAAATACTTGTTCTTGTAACAGTCGAGAATTGTTCCTTGAGTCTTGTCCATAAATCCTGGGCACTAGTACTCCCTATAGCACAAGAAATGGCAAGTGATGAGAGTGTTGTAGTAATCAACTGCATCAATGCACGATCGTGCATCTTTCAGATCTTGTAGTCATCAGATTCTGTTTGACAAGTAACTCCTTCAGAATCAGCCTCAGACCCACTAAATGTAACCTTATGAATTAAACAGGACAAGGTGCGGATCCATCCACAAAACCCATGATTCCATGCCCTTTAAGAAGAAGTTGCATTTGAAAATTCCAAACCAAGTAATTGGTTTCATCGAGCTTTATTGTCACAAATGTTGAAACAGTGGATATGAGGGATGTAATTGGAGACTGAATAATTTGCAGTTGTGAAGTAGCAACCATTTTTGCAAGAAACCTGAGATCTTGAAGAAGAATAGCAATTGAGGACTTATATCAAACACTTAATGTGCACATCAGACGAACACCAAGAAAATTGATAGAGAGAAGATGAATAACACCAAGAAACCAGAAATGATGACAATGGGATCAGAAATGATGAGCGGAAGCAGTTCAAGATTGAAAATGTCCAACCGAGCGATTAGCTATTCCAACGAGGTTACCATGTTAACCAAGCTATAGAGAAAGATTTAGAGAGAGAAGTAATCTTTTCATGTATATTTTCTGTGTACTACATTCTTACAATATCAAGACTATATACTATCTTATATGAAACTTATTGTCTAAGTCACAATGTAACTAACTCTAACAACCTTCCTAATCTTTTGACAAGTGTCTCCATATTCTA